TCCATTTGCTACAATGACACGCATCATTTGCACTCCCTGCAAGGCTAGACGGGGTCCACGACGTTCTCCCGCCCTCTGGATCAGACCCAAGCACTCTGAATCCCTCCCAGACGAACACACACTCACACACAGAAATCCCAGCCTCTCTAAATCAAAAAACCTCACTTAGTAAATAAAACCCCACTCAACACTGCACACTTATGTTAATCCTAATCTCCGTAGCCTGAAAATCTTCCAAATGAGCACAGGAAGAATACCCTGAAACCACAGGAGCAGGGCCTAAACAAGCAGACAGAGAGCAACGACATCACCAAGCAAGGCTCCATGAATAATCAAACTAAACAGACTAAACTATTTTCTGCGACACCTTCAGGAGCCTCAGTGGCCCCCTGAATTATTTAGCATTGATTATCACTGTGTATTAAGAAAACGGCTAAAACGCGGCCTGTTTCTTCTCTCCTATGTGGCTTTATGTTCATGCAGATCAGTCGGTGTCCGTCAGAAAAAACTTTTTCTTGAAAAATTCCCATAAGAATATCAGGGAGATGACCTGAGGACATTTTTAAGTGACAGCTTGAAATGGATCTATTCCACTTTGCTTTTTGACTAGACTTTAAACATGCAGTGTTTCCCTCCCTCTGCAACACTATTAAGTATATTTTTATATTTATGATGTTATTCTTGTTTTGACTTATTGTAAAGCATCAAGATTTTGTATACACTTAAGGGTGTTATGATATTAGTAGTGATGCAACTAACAATCTTTATATTGTCTTCTTTATATTGACTGTACTGTTTGGCCTTTAAGTTTACAGACATACCAAGTAACATTTGAATATAACCACCTCGTTTTAACTCCAAAACATGAAAGACAAACAAGAAGATGCAGAAAAAAACAATAAAGGAAAGTGTTTTTGTAGTAGACGTGGCACCTGGCAAATTGGCCTGTCTACTGTTATGAGTGCTGTCAGTGTAAACCACAGGGGCTTAATCTATGTGACAGCATGAGTCAAGGAGGAATCAGCGGGGTTTACAGAGGGCGTCTGGCTGTGAGACCCTCACCAGGAAACAGATGCCATAAAGCAGCCCCACACCTGGCCGTGGCTACTGTGCTTTTTGCCTGTCAACAAAGTAATGCCCCCCCTCATGCGTGGCTAATGTCAGACAAGTCCGTCTGACAGAGTTAATGCACTCTGTGTTAGTGTTAGGACCAGGCCCCGTCCTAACCTAATCCTGCCTACTTTGAAGTCATCAGGTTGGAAGATGTCTTTGGTGGCCGGCTGATTAGAGGACAGTTTGCACATTTTCAGCAGATTCTTTCAGTCTGACTAAGCTGTCTAAAATGCACCTGAGTGTGACTGTCAGAAACGGTGACAACAGGAGTGGCTGTCGGACGTGGAAAAAACACACGCAGGTAAATGTTTCCCCTCCCTCTCTGTGTCTCTCTGTGAGGGTAGAGTAAAACCTTGGCATCACATGTGCTCGTTTACAATGTCTTGCTGTGCAAACAGCCCATTAATTCCAGGTCTGTGATTGTTTCATACCACGCTCAGCCTGCAAAGATCCAGCCTTCTCCACTCTAACCTGAGACCATATGAAACACCAATCCGCCTCATCTCTCTCCCTGTAAATCTTTCATTCTCCTTTAAAAACATGACAATAGACTGATGCACAGTTGTGAAGTACATTTAATCAAGTACTGTACTACAGTACAATTTTAAGGTGCTTGTACTTGAGTTTTTCTGTTGTTTGCTACTATATACTACATTTTAGAGGGAAATAATGTACTTTTTTTCCACTACAAATATCACTTGTTACTTTAAAGATTCAGATATTTGACAAACACATTATGATGTTATATTATAGAATAAGATATAACTTTAGTGATCCCATAAGGGAAATTCACAAGCTACCCAACAGATAAAGTGTATAAAGTAATAAATAAGTCCCACCTTTATAAGTTGAAACAGTAAAGTGATGAACGCAGTAATTCATCAATACTTTATTCTGAATTCGGCCATTCTGCATAATGGATACTTTTTACTAATGGTACTTTATTTTGATACATTTGTAATATGAAAGTTAACACATTACTTTTCTTTACAGAGTAATTCTACGCTGCTACAGTGATGAGACTTTTACTTTGGTACAAAATATGTGTCTTTATGCAGTAGTGCAATAATATAGCATGACAAAACTTCAAAAGAGTTATTGAATAAAAACTAAATATAATAGTATTATGACAAAATGATTTCCATTGAACTTGTTCCCCAAAAAAATCACAGCCTTTTTAGCCTCTAATATTTTGAAGATATTAAATTAATACATCAACATCAGGTGTGTTTCTCATTATAACCTGAAGATCGGAATGAGACATTTTATAGCTTTAACCTCACCTGACAGACTGCCTGCCAACAAAAACAAAATGTGAAACAAGCTACAACTTAAAAGCTGCCAAGTAAAATACAATTGGATTGGGACTCTTCAAAATGCATCAGTCATGTACAAGGAATAACACGAACATAGTGTAAGCAGTTCTAAGAGCATTAAAGAAGAAAGACATTACATTTCATTGAAAATATTTAAATAAATACAAATAAAAAGCCTTAAGCAAGTTATATGTGCATGCATGGATAAATAAGTAAAAAAACATTACAAAATAAACTGACCTAAATAAATATATTTGTATTTACTAACATTATGTATCTAGTTGTGTGCCCAACTGACTGAACACCTTACAAATACAAATCATCAAATTAGTTTTTGTGCACAGTGTGTAGTATTTAAACACGTTTAATGTAGGTCTAATGTGTAATAAAGACTTACCGTTTAGGTGAGATCCGGACCCCGCGTCCTTCCAACTGACACCACATTGATTATAGAGTTCAGTCGCCAGTTGCTCAACTGGTTTAAAATAATAAATTCAACAAATACCGTCCTATGGAAACCACAGAGCTAAAGACGTACATGTCTCTCTTCTTTATTAGTCCGTGACATCGCATGTGCCCCCCAGAAATCCGACGGGAACAAGATAAGAAAAGTAAAGTTAGAAACCAGAAAAGTCTCCGGTCCTGGGAGCGCTTCCACTGCAGGGGGAAAAGACTAGTTAATGAGCCCAGAAAAGTGTCAAAAATGTAAACGTGCCACAAAGTTTAGATATTCCATGAGTTGTTATTCCTCAAGAGTAGACCAGGGAAGAGGTTTCCCTGTTCAAATATGTGAACGAAGAAGTGAAGAGGTGAATAAGTTGGCGAAATGTTTTTATGAACTGAACTCCGCCTGAAACGCGTTAAGTCGGACAAACAGTTAAACTAGCTTTAGTTAGAATTACAACTTCCGGTTTTCCCTTTCAAAGTCAAACCCGCTTTTAGATGTCCGTATTGTAATGGAGCATTTGACTCGTAATCAGGCTTTTATTTCGAAGACATAAAAAAGCAACTTCCGCCGCAACTTCTTCTTCTCTGCTGCTAGCTTGACACGGATAATGACTCCGGTTTCTCCTGGGAAGCGCAAAGACAAGCTGAAGTTTTTTTCCTCAGGAGGTTAGTATATTAAAAACATATCTACAACTTTACAACGAGTAACATATGCAAAAGCAGATATGTCTCAATCTCGCTTCTTGGAGGCATATCATATTAAACAGTATAATCAAGCGTTACGTGTCCAATATTAGCCAAAAGTCACATTTTATGCTAGCTAGGTTAAATGCATACAACCAAACATTGAGTGAGTTGTTAACTCAGACTTCACATGTGCGTGACTGTTTTAGTTAACCGCCTTTTTTTTTTTACTTTCATCCCCGCCCCATAGTTCTCAAGAAAAGCATTTTGACGAATTACCAGCAGTGTTGTGTTGGCACAGATCCACCTAAAGCGGGTTCATCATAGGTTGTCACCGCAACAGTGCAAATTATTACAAACAATCTGTAGTGAAGATGGATGGCCCAAATCGAAAAACGTCTCTTCTGTAAATGCAGGTTGCAACATAATCACATTTGGCTCAATCTGAACCAGCTATCCGACTCTGCTTTCTTATTGCTTCCTGTTTGCTTGCACCAGATCCTTCTCTTGGGTATGTGCCTTGCTCTTTGGCAGGTGAGTGTTTTGCTGACAGGATCTCTGGATGTTGATAACTTAATTTGCTGTATTAGGTATTTTATACAGCTCATAAAATATATAATAGTTACCAAAGTAAAACAACATATGGCACTATTAAAAAAAAAAAGGCGAAAATCCTTAATCCATGCATTCATTTTAACAGGGGTAGTCTTGCTGATTTGGGGGCCACAGGCAATGCTGGACATGGGGCCCCCCTCTTCCCAGCCTCGACCACCTTCACAGAACCAGCTGTTGTTTTCTTTTATTTACTTCTAAAAAACTGCATCCAAGAAAAAACTGTTTTTGAAACTACAGGTAAAACAACACTGCTAGGTCTTCTATGAATTATGTTCATGACCTTAACATACTGCAAACTTTTTAAAACATTGTATAATGAATTTGCCTTCAACATCAGAGCCCTATCATTATGTGGTTTCTCACTTAGATGTCAATATTGATATTTTCATTATTTATTGTGAAGAGAACCGAAAACTATTCTTCCAAAAAGTGGATTTATTTATTGACGCCTCTGGCAAAAAAAAATGTGATAACTCTTTGGTGTGCTTCCAATCTGGAGATCTTTAACAGTATTGCAAAACCGATATGTATTGACGTTTGTTACGTTTAAACATTTCATTCGATGGATTTGTTCTCTTGGTACAAGAATATACATTGGTATATGTTCCTTCTTTTTAATTGGATATATACATATACTATCTATTTACTTTAGCTGAGTTTGCTTTGATGTTTGTTTACAGTGAACTACTTCTATTAATTGGTGTAATTAAAGTTATAAACACATTATCTGTATATGTTGGATGAATGGAGGCAGCTTTGGAACTCCTGTAAAAGTTGAAAGGATAAAAACAGGAGCCGGTGACTGGCTGCCCTCTCCACTCACAGGTCTTTGGGGGAAAGTCGGCGAAGGCCCTATGGAGACACAATGGAGGTCTATGGACGACGTGCAGGCCGACAGACAGTTCAACGGGTCCTCTGAGCAGATAAGTCGTCCCCATACAAACCAGACGAGGGTTCATTGCTATTGACCCGCGAGAACAGCACGTCCACAGAGCCTCCCCACCTTGAATGGCCTTGTTGAAAAGGAGAGCCATAAATTGTGGGATGAGCAGGGGGGGAGACTCTGCATCCCCCTCCTCTCGCATCCCCCTCTCTCACATGCTATCTCTTTCTTTCCTTTACCAAGTAGTGGTTTCCATCTCACCAAACCCTTTTCCCCCTGAATGTTTAAAAAGATGAAAGGATAAGGAAAAGAATGGAGACAAAAGAGGGGAGGTTTACGTTACAACCCTGCCCCTGAGAGACTGCTCATGAAAGAGTCCGGGGATGGGAGAGATAGGGACCGGAGAGGAGACACAGAAAGAGAAGGGGGATCATGAAAAGAGGTTTTTCAAACTCAAAGCCGCTAAAACGGGTCTCTTCTGTATAGAGGCAGACTAAAGTGCAGTCTTCACTCAGGGACGGAGACATTTAACACTGTCAATACCCTCAAATAGAGGGGAGCGTTGATGTACTTGCACCCATTGACTGATTACACAAGCACACACGCATATACACACTATATGCATTTTTTCTTTTTCTCTTAACCATGCCCATCGTACAGGAGCACTCGGTGTCGATTTCTGAAAATCTTCCACCAGATTATCGTTCCCATTAACACACAAACACTGCCTGGTGTCTCCCTCGCAAGCATTCCTCCCTCCTGGCATTTAGTGTCAGTCACTCGAAATCCTTGCAACCCTCCCACCATTCTCTCTATCTCTGACTTTGTCTGAACTTGCCCTGTATGCACTTAGATATTTCTGCCTCAGGGTGCATCAGTGAGAGTTGGAGTCTGAAAAAAAAAGCAAGAGAAAGTTGTTAGCTTGATGCGGACAGGATTGGCGGTCAAACAAAGATGACGATTGAAAAGTCAGTGATGTGCAGAGGTTGTTTTTTTGCACTCTTGCTCCCACTCTCTCATAGACAAAACTAACTGCAACAATTCCACGATCAATGATGTAAAGAGGTTAGTTCAATGTTCCTTCACAGTTTTTCTTTCTTATTGTCACGTGTGTCTCATTCTTTTTTTTCTAAACCCAGACTCACCAAAAGCCTTTAAGTCACAACATAATCCAGGGAATAACACAATTGTCTACAGCGGTTATCGTTTTTTCCTTTTGGGATTTCTCTTTTCAACAAACATGTTTCATGACCCAAACTGCTTTTCAGACTTTTATTAAAGCCCGACTATAACAAAACTGATCCTTTTCTCAACCTGCCTTTTACATGAGGAACTTGCCTTAGGCAACATCACTCACTGTGTCTCATAACTGGGATATTAGTTTCATTTTCTACTTATTATCTTCTGCTCATGATGCACCTTGTTGAATCTGGACATTTCAGACCTATTCTCATTTCCAAAATGTCACTTTCACTACCTCCAGCTCCTCTGAGAAATGTTTTCCCACACGCAGCGCCATCACACATCAACTTGTTGCTTCGCGTTGGACATCCTCCTTCGTTTGAAACTCAGATCTGAGCGTAATTGGATGGTAGCTATTATGGCAATTACTGCAAATAGCTGAGCTGAGCTGTCAGGGCGAGCTAAAAGTCTCTCTGTCCACAAGTGAGCCAGCGAGTCAGACGTCAGACCTCAATTACAGATGCTCGACCTCCCGATGGTACCAGTATGTCAGTTCTGCATCATCTCCTCTTCCATCTTCACACACTTGGATTCTCTGCGTCTGATTTGTTTTTCCTTTTCAACGCTCCTTCCATCATTCACCTTTAATGCACTCCACTCCCTCATCGTCCTCCTTCCCCCTATATTCAAACCTCTCTTAAATAGGAGCTGCACTGCCATTTGTAACAGTACCATACACACTGAGGTATGGCTGCATATGTTTCCAATTTCAGGCGTAATGCTTCTCTCTGTGCAATCTGACCCAATTAGCCAAAGCCTCCTGGAATTGCCCCAGTCAGCAGCCATGGTGGTAAAGAGGTAAAGGGTCAAAGGTGAGGTCATTCAAAGGGGGGGCCCATACTTATGATTGTGTCACTTCCTGTCTGTCTGTCTGGCTTAGACAAGCCCGGCTGTAGTGCTTAAACTGCTGTCCAACGGACATATTTGGCACAGTTTTAGGATTGTAGAAAGAAAAAAACATTCATGGTCAAATTCAATTTCAAAGTTGACTAAAGGTCATAGAGGATGAGTGACACGGCTCGGAGCCAGACCACACGTAGATATTACCCACCCACGCACACACACACATGTTTGCTCAGACAAACAAAACACATGCGCCTACAAGTCTCTCTGCGTAAAACTGAAATTAGTGCAAGGAATGTTCACCTTCGGGAAACGTATTGGGAGGGCGAGGGAATATGAGAGGTTCGAGCTGCGAACCCTCATTAGTGGAATGGAAGACTTATTTAGGTAATTCAGTTTAATGCTTAATGAGAAACAGGTTAGAATGGGTGCAAAATGCAGACTGGCGTTGCATTGCATTACCTGGCAGTCTGCCCCTTTCCGGGCCTGTCTGTTTAGATTTTCTGCTACGTTGGTTCAGAAGCTGGGTCATTGTCAGTTTATAAAAGCAGCTTCAGACACTGCCATGCAGCCGTCGCCATGCGCACACACACTCTGCTCGTCTTGTTTACATCATCTGCCCCGCCGATCCCTCTCCTCTTACAGCACCTCGTTCTCTCCCTCCACAGATCACCTCTCAATCACTCGTCCTCGCCTCCTTATCTGTCCCCCTCAGTGTCTCGTTACAGGACTCCATCCACCTACAGCGGCTACACTTTCATTCACTTGCCACAGAGCCCCTGCAGTCTGGATGTCCCCGGATTAGACATTCAGCCTATAGTGAATGATCTATTTACAGTTACGTCTTCCTTCTCGGCAACACAATCCACACCTCCCTCTGTTTTGAGTTTTTGCACTTATCCACCCCACCGACCTCCTCCACATCCCCTCACCCCCTTCTTCCAGAAGCCATGTTTTGTCCCTTTTATTTCCAGAGGAAAAATGTTACATATTGTAAACTTTAGTCACTGTACAACACCCCGCAGGATTGGATTTCAGAGGCAGACTTTGTGTTTGAACTGCTCTGGCAATTAGTAGAGGATAGACTTACAGCGCACCTACTGCACAATGGAGGCACCAGCCCAATTGTACAAGCCCCTGTTCACGTCCTGCCCCTCTCCATCTGTCACCCCTGTGGGACTGTGTGTGTGTGTTACAGTGTGTTGCTTTGCATGTATGTTTGTTAGTGAGGTGCTTGTTACTAAACCCAATTACTAAATGGCAACACTTTTCTTTCAGTACACCAATCCATCAGTGTTTTAAGCTTGACAAAATAATTAAAACACAATTAAATGCATTCAAAAGTAGGTTCAGGTATCTCAAAGGAGTCATTAAGACATTAAAAAATCTGCCTTTTGTTTCCCAAAGCGGTCTAGCAGTGTGCTGTTATTGTTATATTTTCCTGACCCATATGTTTGGGAAATGCATTGTCTGTATTCTCTGTAACTCAAATTTGAATAGCCAAAGTATGAGAGTAGAGTTTTTATCATTCCAGGTGTAGCCTTATATCAAGCACTAATGCAATGTCAGTAAGGGAGAGTTTTTTCAGGCTCATATCATAACAAGGAGTGTTTTATGTCGTGTTCAGTGATTTTTATTTACATCACCAATTTGCCTCAAGGTGATTGTTGCTTCATACAACCTCCACTGTTGCTCGCTTCGGATGAGGAAAGTCCCCCTTCGGAAAAAAACGTACAGGAAGAGCACCAGAGGAAGGATCTCTTTTCCAGGGCCGACAGATATGCATTTTATGTGTGTGTAGAGAGAAAGAGGAAATGGGGGAGGCTGATTCTCATTTAGGATGAAGTCCGGATCCAAACATCTGTAATGTTGAACCAACCGAACATTAACTGGACAAATATGGACCGCAAGAATGAGGCTTAGTAGATTGATTCAGACTGAGATCAAACGGGGACAAAGCCTGAAGCGATGAAAAAATATAATAAACTCACTAAAAGTTAAAAATCTGAGTTTCAAGTTGGAATTGAAAGGTCTCAGCAGTGTCAGAGCGTCGGATGTTTGTAAAGTCACGTCGTTATACAACTTCGTATTTGACAGTTGAGAAGCTACGCTCATAAATCAATCCTGGCGTCCTCATAAAGCCCAATCATAGGCTGGCATTCCTGCACAGAGTACAGACAGTTAATGTATGAATGTATTTCGGATTCTGTTTACTGATATGTCATGGTTCATGGAAAAAGCTTGATCCATGTAAGTACAGTATGTACCATGGGCCTCAATTCTGGCCTCTCTGACTGACACTGATATCTGTCAAAGGATCCCTCAGAGAGGCTACTGTGCACACTTCTCCACTCAGTGCAGTCATAGCGCCCTCCTGTGGAAGGGAGGTTGATCACGACCCCCCCCACCATCAACACCATCCAATATGTCCCAAACTCCCACCCTCCCCTGTTTATGCGATAGGAATACATTTCTGAAATCAATTGAGACTCAGTATTCTTATCTTTCTTCCTGCCCGAATATCAGTGAGCACAAACAGTACAAATAATTAAATAAACTGAGACCTGGGATGGAGAGCATGCTAGTAAATGAGGGAGAACGAAGGGAGGGAGGGAGGAGAGCAAGGGTGAGATGGGGTTGGGGGGGCTCAGAAGACCAAGCTGTTGTAATAATCTGCAAATTTCCTCAGATGACGCAAAGACTTTGACTTTGCCAACCGTCCCCTCTCCCTCTTCATCTCCACATCCCTCCTCTCGTCTGTGTGTCTTTCCCGATGCCTCGCTCTCGTCGGATGGGAGACAGCGACACACAGCAGGTAAGGCTGTTTGCCTTCTGGTTGCCACCCCCCCCCCCTATTGCTCCCATTAATTTAAAGCTGAAAGATGATGATCGCCTATGACAGCACTGTCAGATTCTTTAGTCTCAGGCTCTGTTTTTCATTGTGATCAGTCGTTATTATTGTGTTTTTTGTTGCAGTAATTTCCGTGAGAGTTAAACTATTGTTGGTTTTGGAAAGTTAACTGTCACCTCTTAAATCAGATGTGTGAACATGTGGTGGGCAGTCATGTATTAACTTTGTTTGAGCATGCTGTCTGCCTTGAGGATTTTCCAAGGCGTCTTTTGGCCAAATGAGAAGATGGATTTACTGTATGGAGGAAATGAGCTGTGTGAAATCCAGTCCTGCTGTAGAGAACAGCAATAGTGAAATTGCAGCAACAGATCAAAAAGAAAAGAAAGGAAGTGAGAGGACAAAGGCAAAAGTTTATAAATAGCAGAGCTTTGTGAGGGTGAAGAGAGCAGATGTGATAGACAGTCTGTGCTTAAGGAGTTCAAACAACAGATTAATACACTCAGATTATCGTCAGCGGGAGGGGGGCGGGGGAGTGTGTGTGCATGACATGTGTGGATAGATGCAGGGTAAAATCACACACACACAAGCTCACAAATGTTATCTCTTACTCACAATCCATGTCCACCCCATCTCTTACATCACACACATACACATCTGTGTGTGTCTCAAATTGTGATGAATGCTGCTTTTCATTGTTTCATATCATTGGAAATGAAGGTTTATGGCTGCAGTTGTATCTCTATTGCTGTGCAGAACATTAACATGAGTTCATCAACATTTCATAAACTGAAAGTAATTTGATAGCTAATTGTCATTATTTTTTAGACGATTAAATGTCAATATTTTTCTATGATTTAATATCACTGGCAAATAACTAACTTTGTGTTTTTGAATGTTGAACAGACATAAAAGAACATTTCAAGATGCCACATTGAGCTCCACAAAGTTGAAATGGTTGTTTTGGAATCCCTCAATAATTAATATAATTAAATAACTAATTTAAATCACACCAGTCTTTGCTAAGAAGGGCCTTGGCAAACATTTGTTCACAAAAACGTTTGACAATAATAATCCAGTTTGAATTTGATACTGAATCTGATTATCAAACGTAACTCCATTTGTACTATTTAAACAATATTGACTGACAGATGATTTAATTAACTTAATTTGAAGAACTATAGTGTTGGCCATGACATAACCAACAGGATTGTAATAATAAAACAAATTAGTTATTTTATCTTCTGCAAGCAGCAAATACCTCATGAGGCGTTAAAGCATGCCAAGTGAGGACACACATTTACCCTCCCAGTAACATCTGATGGACTGAGTAGAGTCCACTTCTGATTGACTCTGACCTTCACTAAGAGGGTTGATACACACAGTTGAACTGTCCTGCTGCAGTGATCTGGTAGAGCCATGCACCAGACACGTGTTTGATGGCAGTCGTGCATATGTTGAAGGCATTAGGTGCCGCTCTTCTTTGAACTGCATGGATCCCCAGATGTGTGTGTGTGTGATAGAGAGAATGTGTTAATTTGCGTTATTGATATTTACATATAGAGTGCATTAATTTCAACATATTGCATACTAATAACGTTTTGTCGAGGATAACCTCACGAAATTCTTATATTGTTTCAAGCTCTAGTTATCATTGTAAAGCTGCATTGACCATCCTCATCTCCCTCTGCTGAACAAGGGGAGGATCGGGGGGATGGCGGGTGAGGATTATTTCTCGATCCCTTTGCAAAGCTCACACCAAACAATCAACCCTTGGAAATAATCCTCTGAGACACAGTTACAAACACACACACACACAAACACAGATGCCTTTTTAACATGACTTTTTCTTCTTAAAATACACATGTTCTATCTTTTCATTATAATACTACTATAATATAGCCTGTAACCTCTAGATCAGGGCTATTCAATTGGCGGCCCGCGGGCCAAATCCGGCCCCGGGGTGATATTTACTGGCCCTTTGAGTATAATGTTAAAAAGTCATCAATTTCTTTTTTTTAAGATTTTTTTTTTTTTTTTTTTTTTTGTGCCATAGTGCCTTTATTCCAGAGAGGGTGTTACATTGAGAGATAGAGGGGTAGACAATGCCTGAAAACTTCGACGGGCTCGGGTTTCGAACCCACCTACTATACTGTAGTGACAACTCCAGTCATTGATTGCATCTCTGCGTGAATGATTAGATCATTTCACCTAAATGAAATCAAATGAAACATGTAGGCCTACTGAGTTCTGAACTTGCCATTTAGATCTATAAAGGCCTTGGGGCTATGTTGTTTGATTGAATTAAACACAATATATGCACTCCACTATGCTGTTGTAGTATTTACTGTATCTGAAGCTCTTAAATATGATTGCTCATATTTCAAGCCATCTTTTTCCCGGCCCCTTGCTTTGGATCATTTTCATCAACCGGCCCCCATTCCAAACTAATTGAATAGCCCTGCTCTAGATGAACTCAATTCAAAAGTCGAGTTTGTATCCACTGACAGCACTTGTATGCTGTAAAAGTTTTCCTAGTATTCTTGTAGTGTCTAACAGTCTTTAATGATATAAAACATTGCATTTAAGCCTAAAACCAACAATTGAACAATTCTCCTTTTCTCATTAATTTGTTTAATTCATTGATTCATAAAATCTATGAGACGCAAAAAAACGGTGAAACTGCCCATCATAGCTCCCAAGAGCCCATTTGGCGTCTTCAATTGTCTTGTTTGGTTAAACCTAGAGTCCAACATCATAGATATTCAGTTAATAAAATATATGACGTATCCATGCAGCAGATATTCTCCCATGAAAGTGCAAACAGAGAATGTTTCCCACTATTTTTGCTTGGAATATTACTGAAATTATAAATCTATTGACAACATGATTGCATGCTTTGGTTTAAGTTAGATTCATAATCCTGATGTATTCATTCAATAATTTAAATTGCTAAAAGAAACATCCAACTTATTAATCGCTGTAACCAATATGCTAAATAAGTACATAAAGATTACATGCAGTCTGTCAAGCCACATTTATAATCTCATGTTGATTTATATCACAGCTATTGAACATTACTGTAATGTCGAGGTTTAGATCAGGCAGATTGCAAGGGAGGGGGAAGGTATAGAGTTAGCCCACGTGCATCTGTTTGATCTCCTGAATCGACATCAGCGATTGGCTAGTGAGCCTGTGTCAACAGCATCTAAGCAAGTACTGAGGTAGTTCTTCGTGTCCTGCTCTGATGGCACGTGTTCCTTCATCTTCATCATCTTGGGCTCATTTACAGTAATCAAAGCTTGCTCTTCAGGGAGATTAACTCATTCTATCGACTGCCCTTTTCCCTGGGAACCATGAAGAAGAAGAAGAAGATAAGTAAGTACATTTCTGTATGTGGAGACTGATTGGGATGGAAATCACACACTACATAGATCACCATCTTACATCTGATGGATTACAAGAGTGTTTACATTGAGGACCCTGATGTTTATCCAGTCTGCTCCTCTCTAAAAGTCTCTCTGGGAGATGTTCTGTCTTGCGCCTGCATCTGGCCCATGCTACGACATCACTTCCAAACCAGCTGGAGTTACTTCCTTGTTTCTTAGCTCTGAGCTGGACTCACTTTGAAGTCCTGCTACCTTCAGCTCTCATGATCAACATGTGTTTTCTAAGCTGTCTCTTAGCGACCAGGCCTCACTTCAAAGGGGAATGCCTTCTGGTCTGCAGATCACTGGCAGACTAGCTATACCTGTGTCATGTTTCTACAAAAGCCTGGATGTACTGTAAGCGCCCTGACCAAACAATCTGAACCTGCTGACTTTGCTGTGTTTTATTAAGGATGCTAAGCTGTAATATGATGTAATCAGGCGTATCTATAGCCAGTCGTTCCTCTCCTGGCTGTTGCTCTGATACTCTGATCAGCATCTGTTTCCTGTGTACCTATAAACTGTACTTGGGTAAGCACTCTTCAGGCAAAACATTAGAAACTAAAGAGTTGAATTAAGCCCTACAAGGTTGTAAATAGTTTCAGGTTTCCTCAGTTGAACAGAGCCACCAGGACAGCCCAGTAAGAGCTGGTTTCTAGAAGCCAGCTACATTTTGTCTTGAGACTTCTCTGACATCTCCTGGAGCAGGCACATAATCTGTCTGTTGGGAAAGGAAGAGAGATTTACAGAGTAGTTTCAGGTCCCTGAGTATATCCTTGCAGCTAATACTCCTCAGCGCCGCCCTCCTCACAGGACACATGCTGTTGCTTCATTATTTCAGTGCCTCCATCTGACCTACCCATAAACAAAGGTTTATTATCCAGATTTCATTGCTGGAGAGGACGACAATCATCCTTATTATTTTTCTGCTTCTAACATGTGACTAGGCTTAGATTGCTTTATACATATATATTATTTGGAAGCTCAGGATTTGCATAGCCAAAAGTGTTGTCCCAAACAATGCTAACCAGCCTGTATCATAGCTTGAATTCCTCTCAATTTCACCCACCAGGTTCTGCCTGACAAATTTACAAAACCCTATCAAACCTTAAAAGGGTCTGATCCCTTTAGTGATTTAAATCTTTAAACCTTTAGTTATGATTATAAAAGAGACATTTTCCCACCTGGTCTATGAGTTCATTGTTATTTAAAAAAGGGGGAAGATGATAATATTCCCCATCCCACACTTTATTAGACAGCTAGACAACTAAAGAGTGTGGTCAAGTGATGTTACCGAACAATGTTCATACTAAGAATGGCACAAGGATTGAAAAGAGGATTTGTAAAGACTATAACATTGGAACACCCTTCCCCCTCCCCTCCTCCGTACTTCGTTCAACGGGGATTATATCTTTGCAATTGAAACTTAGCAGGACATTCTCCGCCCCCCAAAATATACAATTTCAGATCATACTGGCAATCCGTCTTTGTGTCCAGAACGTCGACTGTTGCAGAGACTATAAAAGGGGACAGATATGGATAGGATGCTGAGCTGAAAGTGTGACAGCAGACAAACTAGTAGGTAACATCTTTGTGTTCCCACTTGTCTACTATCATTTTGTAGGCAACTGTATGTTTACTGCTGCATATAATACCGTTTGCTCAGATGATGAATTATAATCATGTCTGATTGCAAATGTCTCACTGAGTCAGAGTGTTTGTAAATCTGACATTCATACATCTGACAAGGATTTGGCACGGCTGCGCTGCTCTCAACATGTGTTTATATACGATTAATGTTTGGAGATTGTTGCGGTGGGGTCTCCGTTGAGAAGAAATGTGTATTGCACTGACAGTGAACACATTCTTAGTGGTTGAGTCTTTCTTTGGTGTTGAAGGTGATGACTTTGCCTTGGAGGACAATTTGATTGGTTCCTTAAACTAGACCTTGTCTGATAATTAACGGTTGTCAGCTGTTTATTGGAGACCCGTCCCTTTCAAAGAAGCGATCTAGCTTTAGGGTTACTGTTAAAAAAGGATGGATGTACTTCCAAGTGCAAGAATACTGTTGATATACAGTAATATACACTTTTCTGAATTTGGCTGCTGCCTTTCTGATATTCATGGTGCTGAGTTGCATTTTGACAGAAATCATACTTGAATTTCTTCCATACCAGATTATCCTTTTTAGCAATGCCAGTGCTTTGGCTTTAAGTTTGGCAATGCCGGTCAGACGCGCCACCACCCTGGTCCATCCGGAAATACCTACACTACTACTGGATGGGTAGCAATGACATTTTGTACAAATATTCTTGATCCCCAGATGATAAATCTTGACTTTGGCGTTCCCTGTTTTTTAACAATGTATCACCATTTTTTGTTTTTTAATGAAATATCTTTTATATTATTGGAAGGATTGCCGTGAAGTAGGGTGTAGATATTCAAGTTGCCTAAAGGATAAATTCTAATGATTTTACCCAGGGGTGTCCAAACTTTTTTCACAGAGGGCCACATACAGACAAATATACGAAGGGCTGGGCCGCTCACTAGAGGTATATTGCCTCATAAGTTATAAGTTAGAGAAATCAATCAAATTTAGGTAAATTATGGACCACACAGTTCTCCGTAGGGTTTCATTTATTGTGTTGGCAGCTCATCCCTTAAGACAGGAGGCTCAGATTGCTCATAAGAGGAAATATGAAGGGTATATTTCAAGGTTGTTATGTAAATGTATTATTGTGCTTTTTTCTTATCAACTAATATTTGTTTGAAAATGTTTTCAACTTTAATTGACTGAATTTATTTGAAAATTCGGCTTATTAACACATGAATACTGTGTTATATATTTGAACATATATATTTAAGAAGTACAATAGCAGATGTTTAATTTGTGGGCCATACAGTATTTCATTATACTTTTAGAATTGGTTGAGGACCGATTAAAAATGGTCCGCGGGCCATATTTGGCCCCCGGGCCGTAGTTTGGACACCCCTGATTTTATTTTAGGTTTAGGGCTAATTAGAAAATGATAGCATGCTAACACACAAAAAGCAAGAGGTTCTACACGGTAAATATTGTACCTGCTACACATCAGTGGGAAAGCGTATTAGTAACTATAACTTAACACAGCTGCCGCTTACATTAGAATCATAATTTGTGGCAATGACTCGGCCTAAGGGCATTGCAACCAAGACAACAGACTTCCAGTAATAAGAATGTACTCGTTCATACATGTGGCTGGGTGGCATGTTTTGGATAAACCTACAGAAAGAAAGAAAAAACAACTGCCCTTCTTCTATTACACAGTTTCACCTGCAGCACAAACAACATCATCATCTTTCACATCAATTCTCTTTCGCTCCATCCCGTTTACATGAGTGCTATATTCTGCTAGTGGTTGAAATCACAGTCGTGACAGAACACAATTCATGTGAAGGAGTCTTGACTCAATCCGGACGCTGTGTCGGTTGTTGTCCATTATCACAGTACATGGGATAAACAATCAATTGATCTAGCCAACACATTGTGTTCCTGATCCTGTACCCTACAACGGTTGGGTCGGGCTGAACCAGCGATAGTCTTGTTCCTTCTTAAAGTCTGCTATTATGGATTTATCTAATAAGTAACTTTCACTTAGACCTGTCAGTCAAAAATGTTTAAACAGCCAGGGGCAACATCTCACGACTCCTAATAGGCCGATTATTTACCTGATTCATTGGCTATATATCTTCCTTTATCAGCAAAGTACATATTGTCTAGTATTTACATTCCTGCTGTTTCCTTTTAGAGGACTATAATATATTACATCTCTTGAGTTATTTCTTCATGTCCTGTTTACCATTGCCTTCTGTGTTTGCATTGCCTGCCGTCATGCTTATTCACTTCCCTTAGGAACCTAAACCAAATGCTGCAAGGACATGTGAGTGAGTGGTAGTTATACCCAGTTGTCCCTTACCCACCTTTCAGAGCAGAATCAGCCAGCCAAAATGGCAACAATTTAAATCATCAATAACTGCAACCAATACTAAATAAGCAAAGAAGTCCTTAAACAATCCAATTGATAAATCAGCCAGAGAAGGGTGCATTATTTAACCAACACTGAATACTTTGCAGGCCTGCATGTTTAATGATGTTGAAGCACATACCCTTCCACTGTCTCCACAGACAGGATGACGAACCAGTCGAAAGCCAACCAGTCCAACACAAACAAGAAGGAGAAAGAAGAAAGCCAGCGAGATGACAACACAGACGTTGTATATAAAGATGCAGGCCACTGCAGCCGCAACACCCACAACCTGCTGCTGGGACTCACTATTCTGGGTATGCTTGGACTCAGAACCGTACTTTTCTATCTATAATTACATTATTTTGTGTTAAAAAGCAGCACATCTTCACCAGCTTGTGAAAGTTGGATTGTAGTTGCTAAACATAGGTTGAAAGTTAAGAAACAATGCCTCACACCAGCTTTTTGTTCACATATTTTACCATCCCATATTTAATTCAATTTCAGTGCGTTTTTTTGTTGTTGAAAAAAGCAGAATATGCACTCTAGATATACAGACTCATTTTCCCAATAGGCATATTTGGCTCGTTTCTGTTTTTAGTCTGCCTCTGTAAACACTTTGGTATGTTTCTGCATAGTTGTATGCTTTGTCAAAAAAAGACCGCCGCAAAGTGGCGAAGAATGTTAATTTGTCACCAAGAATTAACCCAAATTTAAACCTGTTTACATTACAGTGAAAGTTATCATTAGTCAGAGGACTCTTACATTTCGAATATTAAACAGTTTTCTTTTGGGGGGGGGGAGAGAAGTTGAGCAGTAGATTTACTTGAAACTAAGAAAGGGCCTATCAATATGTGGTTTATAAAGACAAAGTTGTACAAATTACTGATATTGGCTGTTTATTTGCATAATGTTTTGTATTTATTCTGAGTACACACAGTAGCGACTTTAAAAAAAAAAATGTTGTATATTATATGCTGATTTTTAATAGCTATGTATGTTTGGTCCAAATACACCAAATACATCAAAAAGTGAACTGTATTTCTGTTAGTCGTCCCTGTTTTGTAATGTTTTGAAATGAAGTCAGTGTGGGTTAGTACTAGACACTCAACAGCCTTCTTTCTGCTCTGGTGATTTGTAAACACACTTATATGCTGATTTTTAATAGCTATGTATGTTTGGTCTAAATACATCAATCTTATCCTGCTTTCAACAACATTATATGAACATTTTTTGTTTCCTCCCCTCCTATCGTCTACTCTCTTTCCCTTCTCTCCTCTCTATTTCCTGCCTTCGTTTCCCTTCTTTTCCTCCTCTCCCCTCCTCTATTCTCTGCCTCCCCCATATCCTCTTCTCTCCTCCCTTCTCTTCTCCGCTCCTTTCCTTTACATCCTCTCCTTTTCTCCTACTCTCCTACTATTTTTTCATCTCCTCAGGTGTTGTCATGGGATCGTTGTTTGGGACGCTGTTGCGGTACATGAGTGTGAAGGACTATGCTGCCCTCACTATGATTTCCTTCCCTGGAGATATCCTCATGAGGATGCTGAAGATGCTCATCCTGCCTCTAATCATTTCCAGTCTCATCACAGGTGAGAATGGAATGTTTTTACCTTACCTTACCAATCGTTGACAATGTTAAAGCATACCCAAGCAATAGACTCTGGGAACATGGGACACTGTTATCACAACACAGCCCTGTTCTTATATATCATGATAAAGCTAACACAGAAATAAGTATCTTACACAAACAATGTTAACTAACTGGGACAATTAAGGACAATAGTGCACACGAGCAACATGGTTTGTACCCTGATGATGATCTGTCTCTTTAAGGACTGGCTGGTCTAGATGCCCGCTCCAGTGGCAGGATGGGAAGTAGAGCCATGCTGTACTACATGTCCACCACTGTAATCGCTGCCACCCTTGGGGTCATCCTGGTGTTGAGTATCCACCCGGGGAACCCAAAACTAAGGGGGGGTGGCGCCACAACCTCCTCAGTCCCGAGGAACCCGGAGGTCAGCAGTCTGGACGCCTTCCTCGACCTGCTCAGAAACCTGTTTCCTGAGAACCTCGTGCAGGCCTGCTTCCAACAGGTAGCCTCAGCTTCTGAAATGAGTCTCAAACTGTTTTCCTACTCCAGCTCTTTATTTGTGAGCGCACACATCAAAGTAAGAATGTAACAGATATAGGATAAATTGGTTAAGTTGGCAAATACTGGCACAACACAATTGTACTTCTTGGTATGTCATGCTATTAATACTGTAATGGATTTTACTTCATTCATGATCAAACACAAATACATTGACATTTCTTTACAATAGAGAGGTTTTCCACTCTAATTTCGAGTAATGCTAAATGTTAATGAGCCATCATCCATTATTATATTTAGTTTTCTCAGCAGTTGACAAAAACGATTCCACCACAACGTGTAGTAGTTGTTATGAGGCATACTTTCTTGAAAGATGGTGGGAAATGATCATAATTATACATATTATATGCAAAATTCCTATACTTGCTTTGCATTAGTTTCGATTAGAAATACCTGCTTATGTGAACCTGAAAAGGTTGGTCTATACAAAGTATTGACTGAGCAGTCTCACAAAATAAAAAAAACGGTGTCAGGAGTGAATCAGAGCATGATTTGACACAATTAGTGTTGACTTATAACCAAATAGCAATGTATTTGTACATGTTACAGAAGTGTAACCTTTAAAGTGTAAAGATGACCTTTTTACGTAATGTCATTACAAGTAAAGCCCCTCAAATTACCGTCAGATTTAAGGCAACATTGGAGGTACTTTTCTTTTCATACAAATATATATTTTACTGTAGTTTAAATAAAAAAGCAAGATAACAAAGATATCATGTTTGGCTCACGCTATATGGCATGTTTTGGGACATTTTGTATATCTAACTGGTAATTCAACAAATTATTTCTACATTATAGAATGACACACATAAGCATAGCTTGAAGTGCTTAAATGATGAGATTATATAAAAAACAATTGCAAAAAGTGAATTGTCGCATATGATCCATTTAGTTTTGAACACCAGCTAAAAAAAGGTTTACTGTCTGAATACCCAGTTACATTAAAGGTTTGTTGGGTAATGGTCTTCCATGCTGATAATTTTTATACGGTAATCCAAGTCTCAATCATGATGCGACGTCTAAATCTGCCCCCCCCCCCTCTCTGCGTGTGGTCTGAATGATTACAAGTGGTTGTCTGTGTTAGACTGGGTGAGGGTCAGCCCTTCTGCTACTGCTAATCTCTTTGCATATGTAATGCTACATCTTTATTCACCACTGTAAGGCATCTGCTGGTGGACAGGGAGCACTGCTGAGCACCAGCTTATAGACTTCTTCTCCCTGAAGTCATTTCAGTGTTCTCCCTTTTTCGCTCTTCCTCTCCTTTCTGTCTGCATCTCTGTTTTACTGCGTCTTTTGTTTGTACTCATTGGGGATTCATTAAAGTCATAAAAGGCATAATAGCTTTTGCAGGAAGGAATCGTCCTTCCCCTTTGAACCTTCTTGTCTTTCTTTTCTTTGTTGTCTTTTTTTGAGAATCTCTTGTTCCCTGTTTTGGCTTTTTCTGTAAACACAAACCTGAGTGTGTTTGTGCTGCTGCCAAGCTTTCATTCACTCACAACATATTGGTTACGACATCAGGGTTTTTGTGAAATTGAGTTTGTGTTGGTTTAATTACATTTGAAACCTCCGATCAATCTGAATGTGGTTCTGCCTCCAGGTTCAAACGGTGCTGAAGAAGGTGCCGGTTATGGTAGAAAACCAAACTGAGCCCATCATTGAGAACAGGAAGAAACTGGAGTACAAATGGGGCATGAACGTCCTCGGTGAGAGGATGATTGAACTCCTACCAACTTCTTCTTTCAATCGTTTAATTTGACTGATGTTTGCTGATTTGCATTGAGAGCTGCTACTAACATGCTGCGTTGTGGTCTTCCTCAGGCTTGATCGGCTTCTTCATCACCTTTGGGATCTGCATGGGCAGGATGGGCGAGCGAGGGAGGGTCATGTCCGATTTCTTCAACGTCCTCAACGAGATAATCATGACGATGGTCTCCATAATCATGTGGTCAGTATTATCTCCCCCCCTGTGTGTGTTTGTGTGCGCCCTTCTGCAAGCATGCACAACATGTGTCTCTGTTTTCGTTAATGAGGGCCAACGGCTGCGTTGCTTTGACATTCTGGAAATACCACACACAGAGGTCAGTGACAGTGATGGATAACGCATACACGAAACATATTGTTGGAACGAGAAGAAGTGTCAGATATTTAAGTCAGAAGAAAAGAAAAAGGAAGAGAAAAAGGAGAAGGGTGTTAGTGAAGGACACGGACAGATGGACAGCCAGAAAGAAAGAGAAGTCTTCATTGGCACATGCTGTAGTCCATGGTATGCTGGGGAGTAGCAGGAGCCGGGGCCCGGAACAATGTTGTGGGCTCCCAGGGGAGACGGGGTGGAAGATCTCCAAACTGTAATGGATCCACGGTCGGCAGAGGAGCCACTTGGCAGCAGAGCTGAGGGTGGGAGGGACGGCTGGACGAGGAAGGATGCATGTTAGAGCATGTCTTCTGAGAGCAGTGCTCGCCTTGACGCTTCACAGGACACTCAGATAGAGAGCTTAGTGGCACTCAGCGCCGGGAAGGGAGAGGGGGAGCAGGGTAGGCGGTTGGAACAGAAACAGCAGGATGCTTGTGTTGCAGCTCTCCTAGGCCATTTACATGTGCAGCTGGACACCAAAGGAATTGTGTCCTTGTTCGTATCACTCACGTAGTATAAACAGATTACTCACAAGCCTATGGAGCTTGCCAAACACAGAGTCCAGTGTATACAAAAACACGTATCATACAAGGAACACATCCATCAAATCTATACACGGCATACTCCCCCAAACAACTGTCACTGAATGCCAGGCTCGGGGTTCAGCACGCAGCTGACCTGGGGGAGAGCAGGCCGCTGTCGGGATGGGACCTCTATTGACTTAAAGGGGAACTCCGCTTTATTCAAACGCCCCACTGCGCTCTGGAGTCAGGAAGGGGAACAACTGTGTCAAGTGTTTCCAAAGTTAAAAGTGTTCCTTTGACAGTGAATAAAGATGCATCAAGTGTTGTCTCTACATTCAGACATCATGTATATGACCAATGGATTTACTTGGGGGGTTAAACTTTGACGGGGTTGAGCTATAAATGCATCCATGTGCCAGGCAACATGTTTTTTTTTTATATTGAGTCTTCAAAAAGTCATAAAATGGTTAAACTTGTTTAAAAAAAGAAAGAAGAGAAAACATAAATATTTTTTTTGTAAAGTAAGGATGCTAAATTAGCAGTCAGCCTTACAAATAATACAACATCAATCATAACAAAACGTAAATCATTTCAGCTCTGGTGTGTTTTCTTCACTTTGTGTTTAGGTACTCTCCTGTCGGCATTGCCTCCCTGATTGCGGGGAAGATTGCGGGCATCGGAGACCTGGAGATGGTTGCCAGGCAGCTGGGCATGTACATGGTGACCGTCATCGTGGGCCTGGTGATCCACGGCGGCTTGATCCTACCTGCTATATTCTTTGCTATCACTAGAAAAAGCCCCATCACTTTCTACTCTGGAATCTTCCAGGCGTGGATCACAGCTCTGGGCACTGCCAGCAGGTAGGACATCCTGCAGCAAGCGTGCGTTTGTCTGTGAGGAAGTTCTCTGTTTGTGCATGTGTTAGCAACATATGTGTCACATATTTCTTTTACAACATCTTTTCCTTGACAGCTGCCGTACTTTTTCTGTGAATGAATGGCCTAGCCTGCAACTCGCTTTCAGCTATTTGGGTTGAATCTGAAACGGCTAAAGGCAAAACGTTGTATTTCCACAGACAAACCAGGACAGATAAATGTGTGTAAGCACAGGCTATCATAGACAAGTCCATGTCAGACAGATTCTGTGTTGTAAATGTCTAAGCCTTCGGATTAGTCCTCACCAGCCAAACTGGCCCCGCTGTATCCTGCCTGGCTCGGCTTGGCTCGGCCTGCCTGGGAGTCTGAACGCTGCTGAACCAACTGTCATTTTGGCACATTACTGAGGCTCTAGTGAATATGGATAATCCTATCAACGTTTTCCGTAATGATATTATGACCCGAGCCTAGCAGGGACAGGAATCAAATTCCTTTAATTCGCATGTCGCAGGACTGCAACAGTGGCTGGCACCAGCTGTTAGGAGGAGGCTGTCAGCCCACTCATATTTCCACCTTGTGTCTCTACCCTAACTTCACCCCCTCACCTCCCTCCTCACCTCTGCACTTCTGTCACCACCTGTCTACATATTTGATATCCTTAAGCAGACACTCTGCTCCTCTTCTTTGTACATCTGCACCTTTTTTTTCCTAACTTGGCATCTTGTGTGGCCTTCTTCTCTCAGTGCGGGAACGTTACCCGTCACCTTCCGCTGCCTGGAGGAAAATCTGAAGATTGACAAGCGTGTGACTCGTTTTGTGCTGCCCATCGGCGCCACCATTAACATGGACGGCACTGCGCTGTATGAGGCTGTGGCAGCCATCTTTATTGCCCAGATGAATGACATCTCTCTGGATACGGGACAGATCATCACTGTCAGGTGAGACACATGTTGGATGTCCTTCACACACATGCCTTATGTTGTTTTCCTTTTGACTAGAAACTTCGTTTTATTTAAACTTAAAAACTGTTTATTTAGGTTTTCAGGACAAACATGGATCAGCGTTTCAGTTTTTAAGTTTCAAAGCGTAATATAAATACCTTTGTACATACTTTCCCCCATTTAGGATATGAATGTAAAAATGAAACCTCCAATGTCAAATTCTAAAGTCTCTATGGGAAACATCAAAGTAAAGCAACAAAAAGCAAAAAAAGATTTCTGGATGACCAAAGATTTTTCAGCCACAGAAATCTTTACATCCATTCATGTCAACAACAGTGCTCTGGTCAGGTTGACAACAGGATTTGATTTGATTTTCAAAGCAAACATTATATGTATTTAACTATTACAAGTGAATGTGTATAAAGATACATAATGCATTGGCGTTATCGTACAAGTCCAGTTCGAAGTTTTTATTTATTTTGTTAAGTCGAGTCTAAAGTCATCAAATTTAGGACGTTGAGTCTGATTCGAGTCAAGTCATGTGACTCCAGTCCCCGGCTCTGGATCTTGCTGCTGGTCACTTCGTTTTTCCAGGGTTTGAGGCCCATAAACGTCCTGAACACAGTAAAGTAACATAATATGGGCAGAGGTCCAGGTAGTTGCACAGACACGCCCATATTTCTAGTGAGTAATAAGTGATGATTGAAAGGGTTTATTTTTGCGTCTAAGTAGTTTAGGACAATTTGAAGTTCTGATGGTTCATTCTGTTGATTTTAAAGGGCAACAAGATGTGTAAATCCAAGTTTCATTGCAGCATTCCTGTGTACCAGTGTAAACAAAATCCCCAACACATTTTCATATGGCTTGCACCAGTTTGAGACATTGTAATTAATCTAACAATATGCAGGGATGGAAGACAGCTTCAAACTAAAGCAATAAAAAAGTAAGAAATTCCCATTTTTGAGGTTTCAGCAAAACATTTATGTCTGATTGGAACCAGACTTTTTGCGGTGGGGGTCTATGAATGATGCCTAGCTCTTAGAACTACCAAATTCCAAAATGATTTTATTTTAAGGAATTTTGTTTCATCAGTGGTGGTATATTATAAATCTTCTGTCTCTAAAACGCGATGTTAAAGGTGGGGTAGGTAAGTTTGAGAAACCGGCTCGAGATACACTTTTTGTTATATTCCATGGAATGCTCTTAACATCCCGATAGCAATGAAAATCTTAAGTGCTTTGACAAAAAATCCATTAAAAAATGTCATCTGTGGAAGCCGTAGTACTGTAAAAAGCACGACCAATCATTTTAGCCGGCCCGGCTAAAATAACTGGATGGCCTACCTGCCTGTCAGCCTTCCATCTGTGCACAAACTTATCTTGTGCCCTCATTGGTCATGTGCGCGTTCGTGTGTGTTGGAGGAGGGGCTCTATAAGGAAGTGGCAGATTTTTCAAATTCTAGCGCACTCGAGCTGTTAGCGAAAATTACCTACCCCACCTTTAATTAGCACGGTTTGTCATAAAGCATTAAGATGTAAGGCAGAGCACAAATGAAGATGCAATACACGTCAAGGTTTGGAGCCGAGTCCAAACAGGCCTGCAGTCACATCTGGGGCCAACATGAACTCATAATTCCTCTAATTGCAAACATGTCACAACATGCAGCATTCTTCTTCTTTTCTTTGATTAAAACATGTAAAAAGTGAGGAAACATGAAGACATTTGTTGTCTTTTTTGGTAATCACCCTCTTTCTTATTCAGATCCCGCTTTCATCCAAGCATTGCAGGAACGATGTAATCGAATTAACACATTTGAATACCGGGTTTGAGCTGTATGACCAACATAACCACAAGATTAAACCACACATTACACACTGTGCCAAACCTGAAATTGGACATTTCAGATTTAATTGTTTTAATTTTGACAAAATATGAAACAACTCACATTCTGTATGTAATGGAGAACGTTGAAAAAGATCTACTATAATGTTAAAGTAACCTTTTACTAAATCTATTTGACCCTTTAATAATCCTATAGATTATAACTGCGCTGGCATGTCTCTTTTAAAACAATAATACTACAATGAATAAAAGGATTGTGCTTTTCAACCGCTTTTTCTAAGAAGAATATAAGAAGGATATCCTGTAGAATCTCCAAAGTTCTGAACATAAGATTGTGGATTCTATTTAAATAAGGTTTTTTAAGCTAACACTTTTTTTCTCACATCAATTTAGTTCCATTTGTGCTTCTTTTAAGTTGTAAATGATCAATACCACAACAACTGGGCTGTGCGGTTATCAGCATAAGATAAATACACAAAACTATGAAACATGAAACACATTATGCTAGTTGCTAGTTTGTTGATTAATACCATAACACATAATGTCAGCAGGGTTTAGGAACTACATAACACTTTTAAATCTTGTTAGCAAAGGATTTGCAATTTGAAATTGTATTATTTTTCCTACCAAAACTGTTCACACCAATTCTTAGGCTTGTGTTTTCAGACGAAAAACATCCACATAAAAAAATCCTCTGTTGACACAGATGTGTTGGTGACTTTCACTGTCAGTGACTGTGTTCAGAGGACAGCCTCACTAGAGAGCACAGCACATGAATCAGCCTGAGGATTTACAGTACTCACCTCTCAGATCCCTTCAGGGCTCTGACACACTGGGTTAAGTGGAGTAATTGTGTGTATTGGCAGACATTCAGCTGACTCAGCATATTGAGTCAGCAGTGAGGGAAGTTGCTGAAAAGCAATTACAGAATTAATGATTTCCAGCACAAAGTCTGGCATTTTTTAACCTTTCCTATTTTTAGTAAGCAAAATTAATTCGGTGTTTTTTCAACTTTTAATCAAGTATTTCCTGCACTTATTTTCCAATACACTGTATGTGTATAATGAGACAACAGCTTCACCATGGGCGGAAAATGTTGTTCTGGTTTGCCTGCTTTCGATTTTTTTTATTACACACTAAAAAGGATGATGAGTAACAAATAACTTCCTGTCACGCAGACACAGAACAACTGCACGCATGTTGGTTTCCTGCATTCTCTGTGGTGTGCTCCAGCTCAGCATCTGAATCAAAACATGTTGGTCAATTTAACGACTAAACTACCCATTTTTTTTTCTTCTTCTTCCTCCCCAGTATGACTGCCACCCTGGCCAGTGTGGGGGCTGCCAGTATTCCCAGTGCTGGGCTGGTTACCATGCTGCTGATCCTGACCGCTGTGGGGCTGCCGACTCAGGATATCAGTCTGCTCATCGCTGTCGACTGGCTGCTGTGAGTCAGGTGTCGGAAATGTTGGGGGTGTATAAGCGTGTGTCAATAACAGGAGAAATGACAGCTCTGTGCTATTTCAGGTTTAGTTAGTAGCATTTGTGAGAGACGTTAAAGGGTTTTGGCTATTCAGCTTATGGTGGCTCTCTGCTTTTCCCCCCCGCTGACAATGTTACTGTTCATCTACCCAGTGACAGATTGCGTACCTCCATCAATGTGGTGGGCGATTCGATTGGCGCGGGGATCGTGGACCACTTGTCCAAGGCGGAGCTCGCCGAAATTGACGCAGCAGAAATGCTACTGCTCCATCCAGAGGAGGAGCTCGATTTCATCCCTCCTCCACCGATCCTTACAGAGATTGACCTGATCGACCCTTTCAAACCGCCCAATCTGCCCCCTCGCTCCCCTCGCCCTCCCAAACAAAACAACCACGGCCCCGCTCTGTCCCAGTCCCAGTCCATGAATTACTCACCTTCCCGTTCTGTCCGATCTCCGTCCCCGCGCTCCATCCGCTCTCCCTCTCCGCGCTCCGTCTGCTCCCACTCCCCCCGACCTTTCCGTACTCATTCACCACGCCTTCCCCGCAGGACGGAGGCGGGCTACTGCGCCCTGCCCAGCCATGACAACCAGGTAACTACCAACAAACTGCTACTGTTTTTAATGCTGCAGAGTATATGTTCATCCGTGATTCAATTATAATTTGATTATTTGAATTAGCCTTTTCTGGATTTTGGCCTTAGTTGAAGAACATGCATTAAACTCACACAAATCACCACATGTCCTCATCTGTACTGTATGTGGGTTCTTATTATGTTACAGTGTTAATAAGTAGTTCAACACTTAACATCAACTCTATAGAGCAAATGATTAAACGAGAAAATCATCTGCAAATTCGGTTGATTATGAAAATAATCAATTGTTTGTAGTCAGACGTATTATTTAGGATGTTAACCTTAATTACGTCAGACTGTTAATTTAGCTAACTAGATCAATTATAAAATAATGGATGGATGGTTTCTAAGTCAAGATAACTTGATATAGCTTAATTTGTTCACTCCCATAAACAAATTAAGCTATATTAAGTTTATACTTTGTGCTTATATCTTTAAAAAGGGGTAATCTAGAAGACAGGAAGTTTAACATTTTGATTTCAGGTAGATATTTGTAGATAGTTTGTTCAAATATTAGAGTATTATTGCTTCACATTGGTAACATGGTACGTTTTAGCATGGAGCACCAGAGTCAGCGATATACCAGAGATAAAAGGAAGATGTATTTTTCTGTTATCAAATCTGTGCAGACCGTGGTGTATTTCTTTAACATTTAGCGCATGTATAAAATTAACTTTTCACTCAGTAGAGTCTACATGATCTCATTGTGTCTCTTTGCCCTCTCAGGTTCCCACAATGCATCGGACCTACAGAGAGAGAGAGAGGGAACGGGATCGCTTGAGGCGAGAGAGTGAAACCGAAGAGGACGAGGAGAGAGAGAGGGTTTTGGGTGAAGTGAGCGACGGCGAGGAGAGCGATGACACTGCTTATGACCGGAGGCACGCCATGGCGACCAGCGACCTGCCATGATTGGATTTTTACTTCCACAAAGCCCCCCCCCCATCAATTAGTTTCTGTTTTATGACTGGACAGTAGACTTCTGGCTGGTTACATTGCTACTTCTTAGATGTATTTTGAGTTCTCTGCTCTTCATTAGCAGAACTCTTGGGTAAGTTATCGACAAGCTCCCTTTGAGCTTAAAACAGATAGATATTAAAATGTTGAGAAGGCCCATAAAACCAGGTCTGAGACTTTTGCTCTTTAGCAAATTTGAGTTTAAATGGAGAGTTGTTTCCCTTTTACTTGTGTCTCCATTCCTGTCTTGATTTGTCATCTCATAACCAAACTTAAAATGCTCCTGTATGTCTGAACTTCCTTAAATGCGCTTGATAGGAGAACAAATGTGCTCTCGACTAGAAGAGTGTCCCGGTGTTACCAGCCTTTAACGCACATCAGTGAGTTTTTACAGTAGTTCATCTTTTACCATCTTTCTCTTCAACTTTTATTTTCCTGGCAGAAGTGGAAATTATTTAAATCAATGGAATATTTTTACATTTTGAGAAAAACACTGTCTTACAGAGGCAAAAAAACTGATGTAAGACTTATTTTTTCCTAATCTCTGTAGCAAAACCCACCTACCAACATCTCGTAAGCTCACTATGTTTCATGCCAAATCTTGTTTGTTTAGTCCCTAAAAAAGGATACGACTGTTACAAACTTTTTTTTGTCTTGAAACTGTAAACTGGTTTGGCGTCAATGGGTTCCATAGAAGAAATAGATTAGCGCATAATACATTTTGTGGTAGAAATAAAAAAATGTTACACTGGATTAAACAAACCAGACGTGACGTGTTAGTTGGTGAGCTTAATATATGGTAGTAGGCTGATTTTGTCACCCCTGGACAAAGCAAGGCTTTTCTCCTCTATTTTAACTGCTGGCTGTAGTTTCATATTAATCATACAGACACGAGAGAGGAAATGTCAAATTATTTCTTTAAATGACCTCGATAATACCAACTGGTTCATCTAGAGATATTCAACCAGCAGACATTATTTTTATAAATCTTTACCTTCTTGCATTTTCTTCCTTGGTGCGCTTCTTGCACATCACCTATTACCTTGATGTTAATATTGTATTTTTATTGTTGTGGTCTGGTCTCTGAAATGACGAGTAATAGGCAAGATGCTGTTTGGATTTTGTTGTTATTTGAATTTACGAGTTTTAATCTTGTTTCATTATTCTTAATTGCTGTAAAATAACGTCATCAGCCTCTTCCTCCCCACTGAGCATCTCATTTTCATTTTAAGTTCTGCCTCCCACCATCCTTGAGTCTTAACTCAGATTCACAGGTCCAGCTTGTGTGTATATTGTAGGTAATAAAATCCTAGAGATTTATTTAAAATGACTACAATTCCTTTGTGTTTTTCTCTTCTGCTTAAGTAACTTTGTTCAATCTGCGGAGGGATTTATATTCGAAAGGGGACACACGTCAGTGTTTGGTGACTAAGACGCAGGAACAATCCTGATGACAATATATTATTGGATGGGAAAGTTGCAACAGACACACATGCACACATTACACATCAAGCTGCGCTTACAGTACATGTTAATGAGACAAAGACACACAGAGATACCAACACACTTAATCCTCTCAAAGAAGAGTTAGAGATGGGCGAGGCAGAGTGAGGGATGGGAGAGGAATCGGAGGGCGGCAGATGGCCAGAAAGACGTCAATCCTTTTCATTCTTCCCAGACAGCATAAGGGCACTGTGAGTAATTGCAAACAGGACTGACGTTAGCTTCGGGTCCCCGCACGTCAGAGAGGAGAGCCAAGTTAGGTGGAGGCAGAGGTGAAGTGCTGCAGGTCAGCAGAGATCCGTAAATACGACAATGTGTGGAGGTTTGTCTGAACATTCCTGAAATTCAAATTTGAGATGATGTTCAGATGGATCAATGGAGCGCTGCACTAATCTGACCTGTAGCATGAGAGAGAGCTCCAACACATGACGGGAGGAGATCGCACCATCTGAGGCAGCAGGGGTCAGCAATTTAATCACTGCCGCCATCAGCATCGAGACGAGAGGGTGCATGTCCAAGTGTGTGTTTGTGCCGGTTTGGGTTTATAAGGAGCCTCATCTGCTCCAACCCGAGGCCTGTTGTCTCTATTTTAGCGGAACGCAAACATATTCCTGAGAAATGTGTTATTTTTATTGCCAACAATGAACGTTTTTGACCAAAACTGTTAATGATTACGTTTCAGCGCTACTAACAATGTCCTTTATAGCTTAATCTGACAATTGTTTTCTCAATAATCATTTGACCTATTACATATATGAAAATAATGAAAAAGATCATTTCAAGCAATATTAATCAGAGAAAGTCAGTAAATCCTCAGAACTGAGAAGCTGAAACCATAAGATTTGTAGCATTTCTGCTTAGAAAATTGCCTATGGCTTAAGTGAATTATGGTATTAACATGTTTGTTTTAGAATGTAAGTGGAAAACCTACATTTTAAACTAGGTTAATTACGGAGCATAATGTTTTACACATGAAGGTCGAGTTAAATGTAGATTTTTTTTAAGTATTAAACATGACGTCAAATACCTGATGTAATCACATGAGTTTCATCTGCAACTAATTTGATTTTATAAGTCTATAATAACTTAGTCAAATTAATTTTTTTATAACATGGAATGAAAACAACATAATGTGGTCATATGTCATAAACAAACACAATCATTTCAAGAAGAAAAATGTCACATTTGGTTACTTTGAAGTCTTTCATGTTACATGACTGTTAATTCAATCCAGTGGCAGCAGCAGTGACACAGATGTCCTGGTTTTAAAACACAGTCTGACATCTAGAGGCAGGATCACTCATGACACGAACCATAGTGCAATATACATATGACCTATAGACGATCTGTACTATTCAATATCTTTTCTGTTTTACTGACAGGAACTGAGATGTAAAGCATCCAGCATGTCTTCCCTCTGATACTACTTGTACATGCCTCATCTCACGCTGATTGTGTGTTTACATTTGAGCACACATCATCACATTCTCCCCGAGTCACTGCACAAAGTCATGTGGAAGGAATTCAGAAATTCATGACATGGGTGAATCAAATATGGTCTTTATTAAATAAAGTGAGACATCCTATATATACATATCCTCAGCCACATCGGTCCTCAAAATATATGCAGGTCAAACCACATCCACACTGTAAAAATCACTCGCTTATAAAATATGTTATATAACCACTTTGGCTTTTTAAGGTAAAACTCTATACAACATGATTTAGAAAAAAACGTGTATCTCCTTACATCGTTTAGTTTTTTGGCTGCAATTGTAATTCTTTAGTTAAAGGTAACAAACACTCACAAAGAAAGCTTCCAAATGTCTCTGCTGGTTTATCCACATTATCATTCATCCATAAGCTTTATTGCAGAACACCATTTCGTAGACTGTATTGTCATGCCTTCCACCACGGTTTGCAGCAAAGTATGCCTACAAATAAATAAAGATTGAGATTGAGATACAGATGGACAACATCAAGGAGGATTACTACAAAGAACTGGTCTGAACTGGTCTCTTTTTTCACTCAGAGGCACAAACATCATAGATTTGATTTTATAACAAGTAGTAAGCCAGTTATATTTTGATAATGCAAGCTCTGCTCTGTATTTGGAGCTCTCTCTGAGCAGCAAATATGAACTCTGATGGAACAACTAACCCCTTGCTAATTCACAGATAAATAAATACTTTTTCTAAATTAAATTAAAAATATTAAAACTTAACACATAAGGAAGAGATAGGTGTGGTGTAGCGAGTTGGCAGTTAAATAACCAAGAGGTGACAGGAGTGTTATAAAGGCTGCACTTTACATCTGCTTGAATGTGATTTGCTGTTAAAAGTCAGCTGATAAATCAATACATGATTGGAATCAGCTGAATGAAACTACCAACAGCCAATTTCTTAATGTACAGATGGAGAATTTTTGATATTATTAATGACTTTCAATAACCTGTATACATTGCATAGTGTAAGACAGAGAGTTAACTGTGGCAATGAAGTTGTCATTAATGTAAAGCCCAAGCTGTGAAGCCGGTGAGTACTATCGCTATCGCCTCATACCATCAGAGTATAGTGTTGCTCAGAAGTCAGAAGTGTCAGCTGACCTGATATCAGTTTTCCAACCATCTCTCGAGGCTGTATGTATTACACGGCTGTATGGAACATACAAACTGGATTCATTCCAACTACATGAACTCTGTCACCACCACCTCCATGATGAGCGATTTCTTTGTTGTCAACATCAGCACAAGATTATTGCGTCACATTTCTCCCATAACTCTGACCATTACAGGTCATAAGCAACTGTAACCCTTACTGCACATTCATCTATTAAAGAGCATGTGCACAGCAGCAGTTCAGGGCATTGCAGTGTACGGCATCAGACTAATGTGCGGTTAATGGATTTCCTACATGGCACACTTTTTATTGTCCACAACAGTAATAGTGACATCAATAAACAGGGATTGTATAACATATATGTTATACTGCAACATGATAATAAGTGTTGTATGTCTCTGCAACATGTTTCTCTAAATTATATTTCCTGCCTAAAACGAGCAAGAATGCAGAGAATGTCATAAAATCTTTTGTTTAGTTGATCAGTGGGTAAAATAGTTATCTAAAGAGTCTTGACATTGTCTTTAAAGGTACGTTTTGCCAAACAACCTTTTGTTCGTTTTAAGACGATTAACTCATATGTATTAAGAAAAACAGATGCCTAGTGTATATCAATCAATCATATAATCACACAGAAGCCTCAAATGTAACACATTCAGCTTATATCAGTACAAATCCTTGTGTACATGTTTCTTTCACTCAGAAGTATACTTCTTGATACTCTCCTTTTCTGGATTTGAAGCAGTTTTAAGTGTTTTCTCGATCAAACCTGAGTGACCAGAGGTTCTTTGAGGTAGAAGTTAAACCCTCTGCGTTCACCAGCTTCCTGTCCGTCACAGAGTCCTGCCAGGAGAGTCCCATTGAGCGGGGGGCAGATAGCCCTGGTGTCCTGTCCGTACAATGGGGCATAATCTCCCTTGTGTTCTTTCTCCTCTTCCAATCCTTCCTCATCTTCTCCCTCTTCACCGTCCTCTCCCTCCCAGACGGACGTGGGGACATGGTTGTACTCGGTCGTGTCCTCACACTCATTCCCACGGTGGTAGAAATAGCTGAAGTTAGACACGATGACCGGGACTGGCAAAGATATAGTGAGCACGCCGGCGATGGCGCACATGGAGCCCACCAGCTTACCGCCCACCGTCTCCGGGTACATGTCCCCATAGCCGACCGTTGTCATGGATACAACAGCCCACCAGAACGCCTCAGGGATGCTGGTGAACGATGTGTTAGGGCTGTCGACCTCTGCAAAGTAGACAGCACTAGAAAAGAGTATGACTCCGATGAAGAGGAAGAAGATGAGCAGGGCGAGCTCTCTGAGGCTGGCCTTCAGCGTCTGACCCAAGATCTGGAGGCCCTTTGAGTGACGAGAGAGTTTGAAGATCCTGAAGACCCTCACCAGCCTGATGACTCTGATGAGGGCAAGGGACACGGACGGTTGCTCGGTTTTGTCCCTGGCCAGCTCCGTACCCAGGGTGACGAAATAGGGAATGATGGCGAAGAAGTCGATGGTGTTCATGACGTCCTTGAAGAAGTGCACCTTGCTCGGAGCACAGAGCAAGCGCACAATTAGTTCAAAGGAAAACCAGATGATGCAGATTGTCTCTACGATGAAGAAGGGGTCCTGGAAGGGCGTGAAGCCAGGTGGGACCAAGATGGTTTCGTTCGCTATGGTTGGGTGAGCTATGGTGGTGAATTGCTGTAAAACAAAGCATGAAGGAAAAATGGGTACCGTTGCACTCAAATATTAAAGAAGACAAAGCCGATGCCACATATATTTTAAAATCTGCCGTTTATCAGACATGCAGTGGAAGGAGAAATACTAGAATAAAGGGTCGAGGAAAGTCTATAATAAATATCTCTATGGAGACAAGGTTTACAGGAGAGTAAACAAAGAAACAAGGGTAGAGGTTAGGGGAGAAGAAGCGATTATTCTGAAAGTTTGTCCTCAGCAGTTTCCTAGTATGACAGCTGTCATCAGGATCTGATCAGTGAGATCTGTGAGATCTGTGATACTGTGCTAACGTTTCACTCCTCTCCATTTTCACTCCCCTGGCTTTATTTTTCCCCACTGACTTTTATATAAATCAGTTTCTCTATTAATAAATGCTCACAAAACACATCAAGTTCATATGACGCTGGGTTGTGTGTCAACCTAGACACTGGCATGGCCGAGGCATCTGACACTTTCATTTAACCCGGCTGCTTGTTTTCTTCTGGGAATGAGTTAAGGGTTTAAAAACGCTGGGCATTCATGTCTTTTAACAAGTTAGATAGAGTTACTCTAAGATTTTGGCGGCCTAGAAGCACATTTTCTCCCCAACACTATATGTATTTATATGTTTATGTGTTTTTTTATGTCTGTCACCCTCACGTTCTCATGTGTCCTAACTTTGCAATATAAACGTTAACCCTTAGACTTCAGATGAATTTACACTTTTTTCATTTAAAAGGGTCACTTCTCACTTATTATTATTCTAATCTAGCCTACGAGGTCATTCTTTTTTTATTTGTAAAGCTATAAGATATTCACCTCTGAAATTCCTGCAAAGATACACCCAGTATCCTCTCTATAAGAATCCCCTCTAAAATCTAATGCAATGTAGTCCAAGATATCTGCAACAAAGTCCACCTTTATGTACTGTAGGTAATAATGTTTTATTATGATTGACACAACTATATGTTTATTATTGAGGTTTTATTTTGAAGTGGTGTTAAACTGGACTGCACAGGTATTTCTAGTTTTGCCCACCACATTAAAGGTAGGGTAGGTAAGTTTGAGAAACCGGCTCGAGATACACTTTTTGTTATATTCCATGGAATGCTCTTAACATCCCGATAGCAATGAATATCTTAAGTGCTTTGACAAAAAATCCATAAAAAAATGTCATCTGTGGAAGCCGTAGTACTGTAAAAAGCACGACCAAGCCGGCCCGGCTAAAATAACTGGATGGCCTACCTGCCTGTCAGCGTTCCATCTGTGCACAAACTTATCTCGTGCCCTCATTGGTCATGTGCGCGTTCGTGTGTGTTGGAGGAGGGGCTCTATAAGGAAGTGGCAGATTTTCTCCGGTTGTGTATTTTCAAATTCTAGCGATCTCGAGCCGGTTTCTCAAACTTACCTACCCTACCTTTAAGAAACATGAGGGGGAAAGAATAATAGAAAAACCACCACCACTAAGTATGACCTCAATATTAAAAACATAGTTGACAGTGTCAAAGAAAACATTTTAATATTTCTAAATGTTACCTTTTAAACATATCTGTTGTTTTCAATTACATGACATTGTATAAATGTACCTAATAGAGTGTCTACGGAGTGTTAGCAATATGGAAAATTGTAAATGGACTGCATTTATGTAGCGCTTTTCTTGTTGATTATGATGTCAACAGTGGTCTGCCCGTTGGTCAGTCCTCCACTTTGGTCCAAAATGCAATAACACAACAACTTTTTGTAGGGCTGCAGTTCATTTGTGAATACTTTCATGGTCCCTTGGCCCTAATGACTCTGACGATCCTCAGACTTTTCCTCTAGTTCCTCTGGCCTTTAGCTCAAAGCACCAAAGTACAACAGTACAGCTTCACACACAGCTAGCTTGGTTTTTGCAAAAACAGTCTATTTCACAAAGATTAGCACTAAAAGCCATATAGCCACAGAATGTTGCTCGTAACTAAAGCGCATTTATACTGACATACTAGGATAATTCATCCAATATGAGTTTCTCTCATTGTTTTCAGGTGGCCAGGATTTTTGGCACATGGATAATTGCAATCAGATGCAAAAAAAAAACGTTTTGCCTTCAACTGCAATTGTTGCTATCAGCCTCCACAATCCATTCTTTGTTAATGTCTTAGTCAGTATGTTTTTAATACGTTGATCAACACAGATCATTTCTTATTGACCGTTATTCTAATGTGATGATGGTGTCAAAATCAGCTCTAAATTATCTTTAGGGTTAGGGATATCACTAGGTCAGTGCAGAACATATCTTGCCAATGTCTATTATTGTTTCCAACTTAAAGCTATTTCTACTACGGCGAGAAGTAATGTGAGGACACGTCCAAGTTCAACCATTCCCTCCTGTTGCTCGCTAAGGGAAAGACAGTGAAGAGTGGAGGATGTGAGTGAGCTTGAGGAGATTATGCAGCCCTTTGATTTAAGTTGAGACCATTATCATTCATTCATTTAAAAGACATAAAACTGGTCAATAGAATAATTTAATTGATTAAGTTTTCAACACTATCTTGTGAGTGAGTGATAACGTGAGGACAGCTGTGCATGCAGGTTGTGTTTAGTTTGCGTAGCGTTCCAAAGGCGTCAAATGCTCTGATCACATGAGCATATCTATCTATGTATAGCAGTGTTGCTGGTGATTGGGAACGTAAATCCAACCAGCGCCACTGTGGTGTCACCTCTGCTCCCCGGACCTCCAGAATTTGCCTCGTCTCCAGGCTACTGGAGCGTTTGCAATGCTAATTTCATTTTGTTGCAGTCCTCAGAAAAGTTAATCTGCGAGTGTCTTTTCCATGCTGATTTCAGGATATGAGTCATAGGGTTTATTAATACAGACTTTAGTTTATGTGTTGATGTGCTCTAAGGGTTGTCCTTTACTCTATATATAGCCCTTTAGATCTCTTAGGGGTAACGTGAGACCAGCCCGTCTCCTTTCCTTCAGTTCGCACTTAACTCTTTCCAATTTCTCTCTATCCCTCTTCTTAGTACTTTAGTATCAACTCCACCTGAATGTGCTGTTGGGTCTGGCAGTTGTCCCTGAGAGGCTGACAAGACATATCATCGCCACAACATAAAACCACATCCATCCTGCTCTGTCTGCCAATATTCTTTCCTTACTCTTGTTTTTCCACTAGCAGTTAAACAACCTGTCTCTTCCACTTCATTCCTTCCCCTCCATCTGAGAGGATCAAATTTAACAAGAAGTCCAAAATAATCCCATGTAAACATCTGCCTCGCCTTTTCTACTCTATTTGCTGCCTTTGCCGTCTCTTTCCCTGATCTTGATTCTTAGCGTTGATATATCTAATAATCCTCCAGTTCTACTCTCCTTGTGTTGAGAGGAGATAAAGACCTTGCACTGTAAGAGCTGGTTGGTGTTTCGTATGGGACAACTGTCAGCACATGTTGTCCCTCTATGATCACCTCATCACTCCATTACAATGTTAACCTCTGTTCTCTTCGCACCCTGTCAGCGACCTGCCTTTTCCATACATAACCCCAATCCTATCTATTTCACTCATATGTGTCAGCACCATCCTCACCTCCCTCTTTTCCTTCTCGTTCCTGAACTCAGGCAGTGTCTCCAGGCAGAAGATGAGAATGGAGATCACAATGACCATGACGCTGATGATGGCGATGATGCGAGCTCCGCTGGAGGACTCTGGATACTCAAACAGCATCCAGAGGCGACGCTGCAAGTCATTGGCGGGTAAGGGCCTCTCCTCCTCCTTGGGGAACCCTTCATCTGCTTTGTAGCGTTCGATGATATCCTCTCCGAGCTCATAGAAGCGCAGCTCCTCCAGGAACATGTCCAGTGGGACGTTGGCGGGCTTCCGCAGTCTCCCGCCTGACTGGTAGAAGTACAGGATGGCATCAAAGCAGACGCGGCTCCTGTCCAGGAACATTTCATTCCGCAGGGGGTCAAAGTAGCGGACGCGACGTCCAGGGTCACCAAGCATGGAGTCTGGGAACTGGGCGAGGGTGCGGAGCTGCGTCTCATAACGCATCCCTGACACGTTGATGGTCAGGCGTTCCGTCAGAGCCCAGCCGGTCCTCGAATGGCGTTTCTCCTTCTTGGCCACTCTGCTCGGCTCCTTCTCACTGATTTCCTTCTCTAGCTTGTTGTTCTTGTCTTTGGTCCATTTTTCTTCGTCACCAACCTCCTCAGCTTTCTGATTTTCATTTGTCTGCCCTCCTCCTCCTTCGTCTTGATTATCCATCCTTTAGGCTTTTTTTCCTCTTGGTTCTGTTTCTTTTCTTACTTTTCTTGTTTCTTCACTCTGGGGAACAACACTTAAAGGTTAACTTGGCAATGCAGAAACAAGAGAACAGGGAAGCATGAGTAGATCAATCAAAACTTTAGTTCAGTAATATGAAATAAACTGTGACTTAGTTGTTAAGTTGTGACATACATTACACCTCCAAGTGATAAACCCCAACAATAATGCATCATTCGTTTTTTATACAATATCTTGGAACTGATAACAAGATATTTATAGCAAAATCTCACCTCAGTTTTCTTTGTAAATTCAGCTGAGAAATGTTCTGGATATCAGAAAAGACAGTAGTTTTTGTTTTGTTATTTATATCACATAACAGTACTTGTTTTTTAGAAGTTACCTTAAAGGGGACCTATCATGCAAAATGCACTTTTGTACGTCTTTTATACATGAATATGTGTCCCCGGTGTTCCAGGGAACTCACCAAGTGTCAGAAAACACAACCCTCTCTATTTTCCTCCATACCCAAATCTCTAAAAAAGGGTCTGCAACGGATCTGATAAAAACTGATCCAGATTTGAAAACTGTCCTGACGTCAGGACAGTGGCGCTACGGCTATTGGGCCAACTCCACCAATCAGGAGGAGACAGCCACGGCCATTGCCGTTCGAAAGCGCTGGAGACGCTGTAGTACATATGCCAGGCCTGTAGGTGGTGCTGTTCTCACAGAATCAGCCCTTTCAAAAACAGAGCTAAAAATATTCAAATTGAGCGAAATGAGGCATGGCTAAAATGCATGATCTGTTTGGTATTTGAAAATAAAAAAGTATAAATATGCCTTATATATTGGTATGGTCCTACACTATATTATTCAAATATAGCATGATAGGTCCACTTTAAATAGTGTTACAAAGCAGGGTTTGAGTTTTGTCATAAATTAATAGATTATGCATTTTATTTACCTTTTTTAATTATAAACTGTATTGTAAATAACACCATGCAGATCCTCCATGTAAAACGCTCCATACATGCAGTCAGCTTCATGCTCATCACCATGTCCAGTTCATCCAGTAGAAACCTCCTCTGGTCCGTCTGCCTGTCAGAGCTGATGATTCAAACTAATCACACCTCCAGAGAGCGACCATAACCCAGCTGCTGTACCTCCACCTCGGGGTGCCTTTAGGGCTCACCCTTTGCTCCTTCTGAGACAGTTTGTGTATCAATTCCCTCATGATGATGTCCAGACAACCCCTCCTCCTCCTCATCCTGCATGTCGTCCCTCCTTCGTGTGTCATGTTTAGGAGAGGAGGGGAGGTGGCAGAGGAGCATTGTGGCTCCTTCAGGGGCTGCTGCTTTGGCGTTAATCTGCAGCTCGGGTGAAGTTAGTTAAGCTTGTTTGTAGGTCACTCGCGGTCTTCACTTGTGCTCTCTCACGCTCTGTGGGCCTGTAGGGAATGCTTTCGGGCCGAAATTCGATCCTCGACCTCTCCTACTCCAAGAGCACCCCTGCCCCCCTCAGCCTTTACTTTGCCCCCAACAACCTTTCCTGACCGAAAATGCCAACCTCCTAACCCTCACTCTTTCTTAAACACACAGTAAATGTTTGCTGTATTTTGATGATGAAAAAAGAAAAATGTCGGTAATCTAAAACTTAAAGTGTTGTTGATGGTGATTTACGCTCTGAATGTGCCATCATATATGTAGTATTTTTCTTTAGTTTCAATCATCTTAAACTGCTGTCAACATGTATTTTAAATTATGTTTGTCTACTGTGGCTTACGTAAAAGTGTACAAAAATTTAAAACATGTCAAATGGAAACCTGATCTGCCAGTCTAGCCTTCATTTGATATTAAATATAAATCTGGATGTGGTTATTTTAAACTCATCATGAAGTCCACACTCAAGCATTTATGTGTGGCAATGTGTCTGTGTGCAGTAAAACTACAATTCCCATTACAGGAAGAGCTTAAATGTTGCCTTTAATTGCATGAGTAGGCTACCTGACTACTGCAAAAAACTAAAACAAATTTGATACAAAGCTTCACTTCCCATTAGAGGTAGCTGTATCACTTCAGTGATACTCTTGACTTTAATTTATATAGTTTCATCATAAGGTTAAAATTAAAGTTGTTCCAATGCTTTTAACTTTATGCTCAAATATCTGAAAAACGGATCACGTTTTCAGCCTCAACTCAGCTGCACTTTGTGTTTAGTGCTTGTTATCAGCAAATGTTAGCATGCTAACAAGGTAAACTAAGACTTGAAAAAAAACTGAAGTTAACTAAGATAGTAAACATGTTCGTATTACTGTGAGTATGTTAGCATGCTGATGATAGCGTTTAGCTCAACTGTAGAGCTGCTAGCATGGCAGTAGACTCTCACTGGTCTTGTTATTGTATTAGTGCATTCATTGTAGTAAGTTGCTTTACTGTATTTCAAATGCTTTTCTTACCTATTTTGAAAATTGTCTATAAGTTTCAGTATAGGTGTTGTTATCATCTGCATTTTAATGTGCGTTTTGTTGTTGGTCTGCTTTCGTTAGAGCGTAGCCGGGGCTCATCGGGCATGTTTCAGTGAGTTTTGTGATGTCCAATACTACCAACAGCACCTGAAGGCAGCAGAGCAAACCCCATGATTTGTGAACTTTGAACCTCAACTACAAACTGAGGTTATAATCGGGAATGATTTCAGAAAGGTGATGAAGTAAAGAGACACATACGTGCATCTGAGTAGAATTAGCGCAAAGAAAAACAACGAACACCTGTCAGTGTCTCGTTCAGAGTTAGCAGCAGCGCAGCTCTGAGGCGTTTCTCCTCATCATCACAGCCGAAATGTCCCTCCGATACCGCGACAAAGTTGTTATTGTGACTGGAGGGTCCAAAGGGATTGGCAGCGGGATTGTCAAAGTCTTTGGTAATTATTGTTTATAATGTTGACTTGTAACTGATCAGAGGTTGCGCACTGAAACATTTGCACTTGTTTTTTAGTGGAGAATGGAGCCAAGGTGGTGTTTTGTGCTAGAGGAGGTGAGTCATTTTAATTTTTCGTCAACCTTTTTTCTTAATTCTATTATAATGTTGCTTTATTTTCTCTTGGGCAAGGATTATTTGAATGATAATGTGTTCCTTCAAATCGGCACCATCTGTGGTGGAAGAATCAAATATTTAATCTTAGTAAAAGTAAAAGTGCAAAAGTGAAAATGTCCTTCTTTCAAAATGTTCCTACAACAACACAAGCATAACAAAGTTAACATTTGTATTGTTATGAAACTCCTCCTTTCAGTGTGTGATTATGAATAATACAAATGTAATATTGAAGGTTGTCATTTGTCAATGTGTAGCACATTTTAGTTACTTTATAGTCTTCCTACAGGTTGATAATTTGTAAGGCACTGCTGCAGTTAAATATAGTGGTTTATAAGAGCTCCACTTTCCACCACTGGTTATAACTAAAGTACAGGAGTTCTACTGAGTTGTTTAGGGAGAGTGTGGCTCAGTGGATAGTGTGCAGGACTTCGAATCAGGAGATAGCAAGTTCGAGTCCCACTGCAGTCAGCATGTCGTTGTGTCCCTGGGCAAGACACTTCACCCCAAATTGCTCCTGTGGGGTTTGTCCACAGTATTGAATGTATGTAAGTCGCTTTGGATAAAAGCATCTAACAAATGACATGTAATGTTTAACTATTATCACCAGGTGCAGTAGGTGAGGCTCTAGAGGCAGAGTTAAACAAAGCAGGGCCAGGCTCATGCAAATTTGTCACATGTGACGTCTCCAAAGAGGACGACATCAAGGTAATGTGTAACTTTAGTGTTATTGTTCTGGTTATACTGCACTCAGATGTACAATTCCCTTTTTGAATTGACAGTCATGATCACAAGACCTGTATGTGGGTGTTGTGTGTCCACCGGCATATTTATGTATTCTTACCAAGATGTCAAAGTTTGTATTTTTCAGTCTCACAGTTTAAAAATAGCTTACAATCCATCTTACGTTTGTAAAACTCATATGACTCGTTTACCCAGTTCTGTGTTTAGGGTTTGGTTTGCCCTACTAAGGGTGTTTCTGTGTTTTATGAGAGACTGGTTGATAGTTCAAATAAACCCTCAAAGTGACTTTTCTTTTCACTACAGAGATTGATTGCAGTCACAGTGGAGCATTATGGACATGTTGACTGCCTGGTCAACAATGCAGGGTGGCGTAAGTCTCACATTTCCTTCTTCCCTCCAGCAAATGTCATGATGAAGATGCTTTACATGGAAAGTATTTAGTTGATCTCCTTACTTTTCACCTCTTCAGACCCCCCTCACAAACCCACTGATGACACCACAGCAGAAGAGTTCAGGGATCTGTTGAATCTGAACCTCATCAGCTACTTCTTGGCTTCAAAAGTAATGTTTCTAGAACTTCTCAAAATCATTGGTTATAACTTTCCTCCATAAATGTGGACCTCTATGGAAGCAAAGAATGGCTGTAAGGATTATTATTATTATAATGTCAAAACGGTGACAGAAAAACGCGAAAGAGAGTAAGAAAGAAAGGAATACTTTATTAATTCCTCTGGAAAATGTTACAATGGCAGCTACAGATAATACAAGGGTAATAAGCAAACAACTTTAGTAGTACTGTAGATTAGGGTGGTCCTTAGTGCCATGTACATTTTCGAATTCATTTATTTTAAGCTCCAACCACCGGAATTCGTTATGATAGTCAAGAAAACTCTCCAGGTGAATTTTATTCAAATTCCAACAACATTTACCCCTTCCTCATCAACCTTGAAGTTTAGCCTCACGTAGGGTGGTCCTTAAAATTGAAAGTCGAAAAGTCTAAGCTCCAACCCCCAGAATTCATTCTATTAGTCAAGAAAACTCCCCTGGTGAATTTTTTCCTCAATCTGACAACATTTACCCCTCCCTCATCGACCTGGGCTGCCACACCAGCAGCCACGGTGCTGCAACTGAGGCTAAACTTCAAGGTCGATGAGGACCACCTTACTGTAGATGTGTAATGCTGTACAGTCGTAGCCAAGGTGCAAGTACTGCAAAATTAAATGCAATTATTTTCTAAAGGTGTGTTGCATTTATGGACCTGAAAGATGTTGCTCCTGAGGTGAAGTCCTTATAAAATGATAAATCTTAGGACCCTTCTTTGCTTCCACTGACAAACTATACATAAAAGATGTTTTGAAGTGTTTGGAACTCTCACTCTCTCTTCAGTATGTGCTGCCGTACCTACGACAGCGTCGGGGAAACATCATAAATATCTCCAGTCTAGTGGCAACCATCGGTCAGAAAAATGCTGCACCATATGTTGCCACCAAGGTGAGTTCATCCTTAAGGCAACAGGTTTCATTATTTAAATAAATAAATTACAAATCCCAGCTGAAGAAAAATATTGTGAAATGTGATCTGTTTTCCACAAGGGGGCGATAATCTCCATGACAAAGGCGATGGCTGTGGATGAGAGTCGCTACAATGTGAGAGTGAACTGGTGAGACAAACTGCAATGTTACTCAGATTCATTATTTTGGGACAAAACAGTGTGATTCCATGACCTCCTGTTTTTAAACGGTCTCATAGTGTTGTAAATAGTATTCATCTCAACATTTTTATGTGAATCTGGATAAGGTTTTTTTACGTTTTTATGTCAAAATACAACATCATTAGTGAAAGTTGTGCAATTAAAATCCTACTTAGTAAAATTTCAAAAGCATTATCATCCAAATGTAATGTGTGACTGATATATTATTATATGGGACATTATTAGATTGTTAATATTGATGTATCAGTGTGTAATCAGCCTTTTTCTGAGCTAAATTGAATTGCTTTATTTACACGTATACATTAGTTTAGTCCAGCTGTTCCCCAGGCCCATCCAAAGTGTCACCAGATAAATCTGATTGGTTGTGAGTTATGGAAGAAATAATTATTTAGAATTTTCTCCTATCTTTGGAGAAATAAGCCCCAACAAGTCACTTGATTTTACAATGTTAAGCTTGTAATCTGAAGATAAACAATTTCAGATAAATGCAGTCAAATAAAGGTACAAAACTTCTCTATGAAATAGCATAGAATGAAAACACTCAGACAAAGTCAAAGAACCTCAAATTTGGAATTAAGTAAACTACATTATTTCTTTAAAATATTGTGAAGATGATAAATTACAATACTTAAACTCACTGATTTTGTTAAATAAAACAGGAGTTTATATATATATATATAAAAAACATCCTCTTATATGTTAACATAAAGCATGTCCTGTTCTGGAGTAACTACATTTTATAAAGTACTGCAGAGCTAACAGCACCCTCTGTTGTCTAATAATACTGTCTACCGTTTATTGCAGCATCTCCCCAGGTAGTGTGCTGACACCTCTGTGGGAAGAATTAGCAGGACACACACCAGATGCTGCAGCGACCATTAAAATGGGAGAAAATTGTCAGGCAAGTTCTCACACATCTTTAAAAGAGGTGGAAGTGATCTTAATGAAGTCAGAGGTTATGAAATGGCATAACACTTTTGAAAACAGAGAAAAACTTTAATTCTGAAAAGCAAAGAAAATCTGTGACATTGAAATCTTATAATCAGGTCCAAAACGTTTTGCCTTTCAGCAGCTTTTAACAGATAAGTTGTGAGTTAAAAAAATGCATCACAATAATATTAAAGAAAAGCCCCCCCCTCAGTGCTTTTCAGCTGCAGAGAAACGTTTGGTTTCTGCTGAGCGTATGCAGCAGCTAAGAAGACTTACTGAGGGTTTCAATCATTATGAGGTAGCCGACAGTTTCTCAGACATTGTTGTGTTAATGATGCAAACTGCCACACACTGTGGTCGCCTTATTGGGTTGTAAATGTGAACTCCCTGAATCCTGCATCTAAACAGGAAGAGTTTCCGAAACAGGTTGTTCTTTTGGTAATGCAAATTATAACTTTTTTTCATCCGAGTCACTGGAGGAATTTGACGCTAACAAGGGGAATAATAAAAGGGAAGTTGACACAGAGAGATATTAAATACCTGGCTGAAGATTATGACTTTTTTATGACAATCTGCATTGTGAACGGTTTATGGTAAACAATACTGCTATATACATATTATATCTATACTATGACATCTGTATGTCTCGATACTTGGCACTTTCCCATTCTCAAGTTATTTATTACAGTGGTAATAGAGGTGGAGGAGGAATAATTGTTATTGTCTATTATCTTTTGTAAGTTTGCAGTTTTCCCAGTTGAGGGTTGCCTGAGTTCACTCTGTGAATCTGCACTTACACAGAGAAAAATATCAGGAACTTGTAAATTCTTGAAAGCAATATATATGTAGTACTGAGCAAATACACAAGGCTGCTTTTAAAGTAAACGGTACTACTTTACAATAAGACTATCCTTATAAAGGGTTTACGAATAGTTTGTAATTAATGTATTAATTAGGTTGTGAACACTTAATCATTAATAAGCTTTTATAAGACATGAGATAAACAGGGCAACTGTGACCGGTTGCTTGCCAAATAGTGAGCCCACATTTAGCGGTACTGCTAAGCCTTATATTGGCTACTTAGCTTACTTCGTCTTCTTCATCAGCCAGCATCCTTGGTATCTGTTGTTCACTGAGTTGATTCTCGCTAAGTAGCCAATATAAGGCTTAGTCATCTTGCCAAATAGTGAGCCTGTGTTGATGTATGAAAACTATGTTAGAACTGGTTTATAAATGGTTCTTAATGATTAATAAAGTGTTTACACTAATTCATAACCTAATTATAAACCCTTTATGAATCCTTTATAAGGGTAGTCTTATTGTAAAGTGGTACCAAAATAATAATAAGCAAGACGCATCAACTGTATGAACAGCTGCAGGAGCATAAAACACAGCAAGAAAGTGGAATGATGCAACCTCAAACTGCTGGAATGAGAACAAGAATAATCACTGACACGTTGTGTTGTCGTTCAGCTGATGGGTCGTATGGGGACGGAGGCTGAGTGCGGACTGGCTGCCTTGTATCTGGCTGCAGATGCTACGTTCTGCACCGGGATCGACCTGTTGCTCAGCGGGGGGGCTGAGCTCGACTACGGCTTCAAGAGTCAGATCCCTTCCTGACTGCTTCCTTGTGGCTGTGGTAAAGATGGTTAACAGATGTAATTGTTTAATGCAGATTTTACATAATTGTTCAAATATTTTATGTCTCTTGTGTTGCTTTAGCCAAGTTATTTTTTAAACGTCAAAATAGAAAAAGAAGGTTGGGTAATTCAGCTTGACATACTATAGACTAACAAATCAAAATGTAAACCTTTTCAATCAAACCTCTTTGTAGACTGCAGGTTGCCCAGAGAAAATATTACAAATTAAAATGAATACATTTGTTATTATTGAAGTGCCAAAACTATTTACATTGTAAAATACAATTAAAATATCTGAATTATACTGTTAAAACATTAATATAACCAATGCTTTCAACCTTTTCAAATGATTGTGTTTGTATTTTCATTCAATCAAATAAAAAGTGAAATGTAATTTATTAGATGACCAATATGCTTGACTGCATCAGTCTGCTTAATGTCTTGGGGCCTTTCTTATTTCTCTCATTTCCCCTCCTCGAATCCTCGGTCCTCCGGTAGTGACCCAGAAATGGATTTCAGGTTGCAGTCGAATAGTCCATTTAGCTTAGGAACCTTCCTAACGGAGTGAAATGACCCGGAAGTACCTCAGTGGCAGCCATGATAAGTGCCGCTCGAATTCTCTAGATCAGGGGTTCTCAAACTTTTTGTTTATGTGGACCACTATTTATTATCAAGGATTTTCGCGGACCACCTCATATGCAAACCGTAACAATAAGTACATATATAAATGTAGTGTTAAAACTGCGATATTTTTTTATAGTTAATTATAGACAATCAAAAGTAAATTGAAGCCTATCTGATACTTTTGTCGCACGTGTCTGTCTGCGTTGTGTATGTTTCTCAAAGAGGACGGCGGACAACTTCTTTCTTTCTTTTTGTCCTTGACCATATATTCAAATATGTAGCATACAATCATAGAACACAACAGCTGCATCAGCGAACATGAACTGCAGCTTCAGCTCTTTCAACATCCGATATTGCAGGAAAGAGACGCATAACACAAAGTTTACAATATCAAAGGAACTTAATAACCTGTAGCATACAATCAGAGAACACTGAATATAAAATAAATTAATATCAACGTGTACAATAAGGAAATAATCAGTCGGAAGTCGCAACGGCTCATTTCAAAATAAACGTGGATTTGCGTAAAAAAATTGTTTTCCGGGGTTCGGGTGTTTTGTTTGATTTGAAATAAACAAACTCTTGGCTTTCAGACTATGAAACTTTTATTTCCAAAATCACACGATAAATACATTTTTGAAGCTTGTAAAGGGAAGATGACAGGCACCTCTCACTCGCACTCTGCGAGTATTTGCAGTACAAAAACAATCCTGATATCATTAGAAAGCTAGAAATCTCCTCTTTCCAACAGTGTATACAACTCAAAATGTGTCTTCGGGTCAATGTGACTGATTTCGATAGAGCAAGTCACATATGATGTGGTCCCCGAAAATCCTTGATAATAAAAAGTGGATTTTATTTAGCTTTTTTCCACGGACCACCTGCAGTACCCTCACGTATCACCAGTGGTCCGCGGACCACAGTTTGAGAACCGCTGCTCTAGATGATAGGAAAGGAGGTTTCAAACTTACTTTATAACCTCCTTTAGCTTAGGAACCACTGGACCTCCCTTTATGAAAGGAGAGGAGAAAATGCTGCCCCACAATGCCTTGCAGCCGCAGCATTTGCCCTCACACAACATTCGGCCGTTCACGGAAACAACCGATTATGACCGAGAAATTATATCATGAAAGTTACGGTGCTTATTAAGCTTTTTAAAACGTAGGCCTATGTGGTAAAGTGCTTTGTTTTGAACGTTCATCAGTATTATAATCAAAAAGATTAATATGAACGTTAGTTTTTACTGAAATTATCAAATAAAGTCAACATTTCACAGTCTTTACTGAGCTGTGTGGGGTTTGTTCAACTTTTAAAAGATGTTTGAATGGTGATATACACAGTGATAGATGTTAAGGACTAACGTTTATAATAAATACATTTGTATTGATTTTAAGATCTTTTCATAGTTCATACAATAATACGTATTGGGATCATTTGTATAAATGTGGACCGGAGGGAGAGGGTGACGAGCATAAGTTTCACTTTCCTTTTTTATTTCAATTCCAACTTTGTCATGAATAATATGTTTATCTGTTGTCCACGTTCTTAAAGGGGACCTATCATGCAAAATGCACTTTTGTACGTCTTTTACACATGAATATGTGTCCCCGGTGTTCCAGGGAACTCACCAAGTGTCAGAAAACACAACCCTCTATTTTCCTCCATACCCAAATCTCTAAAAAAGGGGCTGCTAAAAACTGATCCAGATTTGAACACTGTCCTGACGTCAGGACGGTGGCGCTACGGCTATTGGGCCAACTCCACCAGGAGACAGCCACGGCCATTGCCGTTCGAAAGCGCTAGAGACGCTGTAGTACATATGCCAGGCCTGTAAGTGGCGCTGTAGTCTGCCACAAAAGCAGTGAAGAAGACTTGGTTACCATGGTTACCCTTCTGTTTATTCTCCGCTGTGGCTTTCTTTCTCCCTCCCCGAGGCAAGCGTTTGCTCCCGCTGCAATGCACGGTGCAGAGTCTCTTGATGAGTTTACAGTAGTCCGTCGTTCATACATCCATGTTGGTGTCCGCTCGCTGTATAGAAAACTGTAGTTTCCATAGTTTCCACACAGCAGCAGACTCACATTTATGACGTCCGCTAGCGCATCATAAACACTTTCTCAAAGCACCGCAGTCTCTTCTCCTAAATCCTTTTGAATTCTCCTATCCACTATCCCTTAACCCTGTGACGTTTCACACAGAGGTCAAGGGATACACGATAGGGATAGAGTTAGTAGGAGCTGATTTTTGGACTATTCCACTGCAACTCGGATAGGAGTCGAGGAGGGGAATTAGAGAAATGAGAAAGGCCCTTGGTCTCCCGGACAACTGTGCTGTGAAACAGGAGTCAGGACGAGCTGCTAGTGATGTGTCGGTCGCGAACGAGCCGGCTCAAAGAGCCGGCTCTTTTAAGTGAACGACGGGAGCCGGCTCACGCCCGCGAACGAGCCGTTTTTTTGTTTTTGTTATATTTTGTTAAGTAATACAAGACAGAATGATATGATGATCTCCGCGCTACAGCTGCTCCGTGCATGCATGCAGTGGCATGTAATATCCAAGGATTAGAGACTGTTGGATGCTGCTGTTTTGAGCATTGCAATACATTTATTTGTATTATGTTTTTTTATGATTAGAGACGGTTGGATGCTGCTGTACTGAGCATTGCAATATATTTATTTTCACTATGTTATTTATTTATGATTATCCTTGGGCTCAGCAAAGATTTGATGTCAGCTGTTGCTGTCTTTTTTTCTATAGTTAATACTGAAATAGAGCCCTGCTGTTATATGGCGCTGGGTGTTGCTATCTGCTTTGTGTAGCGTGGTTCTACAAGCAAGTCTGTGCATTCATTGGGTGGTATCAGCAGTGGCGTTTTTATAAGTACAAAAGTGGTGGGGCACAAAAAACTTAGATGTCTATATATAAGCTTCTGCAGTGACGTGCAGTGAGGTTCATGGCTGGTGAGGCACTGGCACTGACTCTTCAGGTTTACAAATATTATATTTTGACCTAAACCAAAATATAATATTATTTTCAAAAGCTTTTTTTGTCTGATGCTTCGATTAATTTTAAACAGACAGTTCAACAAAAGGATACCCAAAAAATGTAATTTTATCATTTAAATATTGAATTGTTCTCTCTTAGTAAGATCCCATTTTCAATAAAATTGCGGTCTTACCTTGACTTGAAGATGAAGTCCATTTGCCTATCCTTCTGGACAAAAATTTCTATAACTTTTTTGTAAAAGTCCTCCTTATCTTCTTGTAGTTTCAAAAGTCTATCATAAATCTAATCGATAGATTTATGATAAAAAAATTATAAAAGTAGGGTAGACATGTGGATATTATCCGGCTGAACAAAACGTGCATTTATCTAACAGGTACGTTTCCCACAGATCTTATTTCAAGCTATTTTCTAAAATCCTACAGTATGTAGAAACCTCATTGCTTTTTTGCAGCTTACTTCCTGGTTTTAGGACGCGTCACTGCAGCTCTCTCGTCTCCTCTTCACACAGCACACTTTTCGCGGTACACGTACTTACAGCCAATCAGCTCTGAATGATGTGAGATGACGTATGGTGGGGATGGCAGCTCTGTGCCCCTTTGGTCTTTTTTTTTTTGCCACACACATTACATTGAAAAATACTCTGAGCATGCGCAGTGTAGTTTTTACAGTCACCGTTCACTTTGACAGTGAGTGGGTGGGGCATGGTCAGGTTTTGTCCCACATGGGTCAAAACGGCACTGTAGACACTAATTAGAAGAACACAGACTAAAACAGCAATGTACAGACGAATCAGATGATTAAACATGACCTTAAAATATATTTTATATATTTTTGTATTTCTTTTTTTGCATCTCTTTGCATTTTTTGTAATCATTATGTGTAATACTTTCTGCTGACATTAGGTGGGGCTGTGCCCCACCTGCCCCTAATGACCAGTCGCCACTGGGTATCAGAGAGATACAAGGGTCTGTAAATGCAATGAAAACAATTGGCCACAGCAAATAATTGATATTAAACATGTAATTTTTACTTTTGAATACTTCAGTACAAAGGATGTATTGAATAATTTAAGTGATATGTGTACACATATAAATCATTAGTCAAAACAGGGCTACATTTGATTGAATTATAAAAGGTATAATATGTGGTAAACTGAAGAGCCGTTTGGGAGCCGAAAGGGCCGGCTCTTCTTGGTGAGCCGAGCCAAATGATCCGGCTCACCAAGAAGAGCCGGAATTCCCATCACTACGAGCTGCACCTCCCCAGCGGGCGACCAATCAGCATCGACCGGTGTGACCTCGAATAACCTCCCTAATAAGCCTGCTGCTTTCCGCCAATCAGATGTTACGCTTCTGTCACGCCCTCAATGACTTCATGGATGAAAACCATAGACTGGATTAAAACCAGTCATTATAGTTAGTGTTTTGTATGATTAAACTGATTTTATATCTATGTTTCCCCTCTTACACTATTGTTTTTTCTTACAGAACAGTGCAAGTGATGTTTAATTATTTACCCAGAAAGGACAGGCACGAAAAAAATTAACGACTCACAATAAACCCTTCAAAAAGTGTATTGAGTGTGTCGGTTAAAGGACTATAACGAGGGACATTTTATGTCTGGGAGGTTTCTGGTTTCAGCTTGCACCAACTCAGCCGAACAGCGTCTCGAATTTCAAAGCGGAACTCAAGTTGACTTTGAGTGGTTGTTTCCACACGAACAAATAATCGCGCTTTTCACATCGTTACGTAGCGGAGATGGCAGCCCTGCGAACGGTGAGTTCATCGACCGTCTGTGTGCTGTTTATAATCTGTTTACATGAACATCTGGGTAAATCATTCATTTAATACAGTAATAAGGTAGCTGATAATGACAGAGAAAG